CAAGCTTTTTGATTTAAATTTAGCCAAGAAAGAACAGTGTCATGAGGTGGGCATTGAGGCCCACTCAACATCAGTCCTGTTGATGAATGCAGTCAAAACTGCTGGTTGTTAACAATAGGTTGATTGCTCACATTGATTCTTAGCATGCATTTTGAGATGATTTTGATGCAGTGGACTGGATGGTATGGAGATCAGGGGAGGATGGGAGTGGGAAGATGACCAAAGGCAAGGTCATAAGAGGAAGGTCTTGAGATGGACCTTGAAGAAGGCTAGGGAAGGGGTAAGACAAAGGGATTCAGGGATGGAGTTCCAGAAAGTGGGGGCAAAAAGGCTAAAAGCATGGCTACCAATAGTGGGACCAGCAGGGCAGGGGATGTGAAACAGATCAGTACTGATGACCAGTAAACCAATTTAATATTTCTCAGCTAATGAGGCCTTTGAACTATTGGACTCAGAGGACTGAATCTTCGCATCTCAAAATCCCTGCTCATTGTAAATGTGGTTTTGATTGGGGATCTATTGAAATAAAGAGCATGAGTGAGCCTACATGCTGTCGTCTATGTTTACATTCTCATTTGGAAGTGGCAGGATCATGTGGCTGTCAGTCTTCTGCTCCGGCTGTGAAGCAGATCGGACCGTTTGGCCCCGAGCTCACTGAATTCCGATGCCACACTGAATTGAATACCCCCGAGGTTTCAGGCACCAGTTATTGTTGCCTCATGGTAGGCTCAGCACAAGCTCCAGTCCATTACATTGATTTGCATGCTAATTAATTTGTTTTTCTGCCTGAGTGGTGTGACTCAGTGTGAAGAGCTCCAAGATGTGCCAATGTAATTGCTTCCAATCACTTTCTTTAAATGAAAAAATATTCAGGTCATCTATTATGTTTTAAGAGATCAAGTATGAATGGGTAAGAATATCCTTTTGGAAGCTTCCTCTATGGATTTAGCAAGAGAGTAAGTGAGCTGCGTAGAGCTATATCAATGATATTGGGTTTGACTCTTGGTCTGTGCTGGCTTTGCTGATCTCCACCAGAGTAGGACTAAGGTGGCTTGATCACCCGGCACCACTGTTAGTGAGGCATAAATCAGCCATGGTCCCCCACTTTTTATCCCATCCATTGAACCATACTGTGCTTGTGTGTTGCATGGATTAGGTGAGGACAGGATCACGCTTGGATAGCCACAGCCTTACATATTTCTGACTCTCACCATTACACGGATGATAAAATAATTCTAATCTAATTTGATATAATGATTTATCACGTAGGCGAGATGTCTCAAAGCGCTTCACAGGATTTACTGTGAAGTGGTGTGATTACATTTTGTGGGCGAAAGTAAATGAGGTACTGGAGGATGATTAATAGAAGTAGAAAACAGCTCCAGGAAAGGGGGAAATTGGCAAGTGAGGGGAAAAAGCATGCTATTGTATTGATGCATCAAATGAATGGTAATAAATCCTCTGGCTACTAATCTAGCAGTTAATAGAAACCATTTTAAAGTCGGCATTGATTTCATAGAAACATCTGTTCCCGTATTATTTTCTGTGAAATATGATGTACCATTGTGGGTTATTAACAGTCTTAAGCCTGAGGTTGCTGCTCTGTGTAAACAGTCCTTCAACCCACCAACCGGATATCAATAAAGCTGTGTTTTTCTATCTTGGAGGCTGGCTTGGTCTGAGCAATTTGTCTTTGCTCAGCCTGGTATCTGACACATGCGGAAATCATCAGCATGCTTAAGAGCATCTAAACCAAACTGAGAACATCCACATACACGCTTAAAAAAAAACTTTAAAACGGTTCTCAGCAGGGGCAGAAAGCAAGGGCACAACATCACTAACCCTGGGCTAGGTTTAGGGAGAGGGGAAGCCATCAACCAGGATTGATGGTACAACAAACTCTGCCACAACGCTTCCTTTATGGATATTTAATCTGTTACTAATTCGTTCGCCTCACATGTTGGTTTTAGGAGATGATTTTTTCACGAGCCAACAAGAGCACACTGATTTGGTTACTATCTCACCCCCTGAAAACTATAATTTAAAAAAAGATTATATTATAAGTACGTACTGAGCACTTCCTCACTTCCAGGCACTCTGTACTAACATTACAGCTTTGCTAACTCTGGGGAGAACATCAAGTGTAAGGGGTGTATTCATCACCCACAAAATATAAGTAAATTCACTGGACAGTATATTCTGTGAAACGCTTTGAGATGTCTCAATGGTGAGGCATTATTTCAAAATGCAAGGATTATTATTACTAATGCTACTTTGTTAACCTACTCGTCGATACTCACCACGGCAGCTTCTACACTGTAAACAAATTCACTCAGGTGTTCACGTTCAGGTACAAAGGGCAACCATTACTCACTATTTGATGTCACCAGTCAGTCATTGTTTGAACTGATTTACATCTATAATCCTGTCACATATGCAACTCAATGAAACACTTTTGTTTTGATTAAGATTCTCAATCTGTCATCTCCTACTATTCTGATAATTCATTGCACACTGTGTGTGCGTACTTGTGTGTGTGTGTGTGTGTGTGTGTTGCTTTGTTCAAGGTGCCGCCCTTTATGTGAGACATTAAAGCAAGGATCCATCTGCCTGTTCAGGTGGACGTTAAAAATCCCATGGGACTATTCGAAAAGAGAAGAAAATTTCTCCTGCTATCCTAGCCAATAATACCCCCAAATAAAGTTGGTTATTCATTTAATAGCTGTTTGTGGGATATTCCTGTGCACTAATTGTCTGCCATTTTTGTCTATAAAATACGCAGATACAGGAGTGGGGAGAAATCACAGGATACCAACCTGCAGCAGGCACCAAGGCTAATTTTACAATCTCAAACCAAAGGAAGCTTTGCCATCAATTTGTTTTACAGAAGTGTTGAGAAAAAATTGCAATAAACTGAATCACCATTGCTGCAACACATGAACATCTGGCTCCTAATCTCTGTAGAATTGCTGTGCTGATCTTGTCAACATCATTTGGTAGTTTCCACTGTTTATGCCCTAAGTATAAAGCAGAGTGAGAGATGAATTATGGTTTGTAGAAATAGTTGCTGTGGAGTACAGTTGATCTGAGGTTTTGTTATTATCCGTTCCCCTTCTGAGGGCCACCAATAGACCAGCCTCAGGGTAACTTTCTAAAGCCAGCCTGTTATTTTTAGCCAAGCGATTGCAAGTGAGTCACCGAGGAGCTGTGTCCTCTGCTGTTTGCATGAATGTCTTTCTATTGTGTAAAGCAAAGAAACGTTCATTGTCCACTGTGACTAACACTCGGCACCATTCAGCACCAGGAATTTGACGATTTCGCTCCTGCTTGTTCAGAAAGCAGGCTCATTGTTCGGTGACAATGAGAGGCTATTTTTCTGGTCAAATAAAATGTTCCGAACTTTTAAGTACACGTTGCTGAAACGTTTTATTCTGATCGAACGGCAATGCTTTTCTTTGTAATTCGTTCATTGTTTCAGTCGCTGCAATGATTTATTTATCGCAGATGATAACGCCATATGAGTTTAACAAAATAAAACTATCAGTAGGGCTGGAGTTTCAAAGCTACGAAGGTAACATAATTAATAACAATGAATAATCCTTGCATTTGATGTAGCGCTTTACCATATTGAGAAGTCTCAAAACACTTCACAAAATACATTGTAAAGCGGATTGTATTTTGTGGGTGAAATGCTGCAGCCAATTGTGCATAGCAGTGTCACAAACAGTCATGGATTCAGTGATCATATTTTTTGAGGGAGGGATTATTAACCCCGTAAAGCGATCCGCCAATCGATTAACAAACAGGTTTCTACTTAATGCTAGGTAAACAGAAGCATGTGGAGTAAGGAAACTTTCCTAAGGTTTTCGCCCCGCCTGGGAATCGAACCTGGGTTCTCTCGCATACGAGACGAGCACGCTAACCACTAAGCTACGGGACTCCACAAAGTCCCGATTAAGATTGTTTAGCAGAGAAAGAACTGTCAAATAATGTTGAATGTTGGTGCAGGTCAAGGTGATGAGGGATTTTAGCACTCAGAAAATGTTCGACTTTGCCTTTTTAGGTACCAGGGGCTGCAATAGACACGCACAAGGCTGGTCTAATCTTGGTTTGATGTGTAGCAAAGTTACACGTATGGATTACTAGGAAATGAGGTTGAGGCTAGTTGCTGGAACTTATATAAGAAGCATCTTACTGCTGTAATGGGAACATGATATAGCGGGCATTCAGGAAGGATGAGGTCAAATGTACAAAAGGGAATTCTTCATCACTCTTGTATCTTTGACCTAATCATGGAAGAGATTAAGGTGTTCCAGGAAGATAGCTCTCTGGGTATAATGCACTGAGAAACATTTTATTCCACATTCAGGATGTATAATAATAATCGTGGTATTTGACATAGCGCCAAATCACGTCGTCAAGACGTCTTAAAGTCCTTCACAGAATATACTGTAAAGTGGAGTGACTGGGTTTTTTGAGCAAAACGCGACAGCCAGTTGCGGACAGCAATGTCCCAAAACAGCCATGGAGTGAGTGAACAATTAAGCTTAATCACAGTCTGCGGCTCCGTCTGAAACACAAGCACTTATTTATTTCATGTTGTAAAGTGACCATCCCACTGGAAGTATGACAGACTATAAAGAACTATAAAGGTGGTATCTAATCTTTACAATTTACCAATAACAGCAGGGAACCTGCGAAACAAAGCCTGTTTAATGCTTATTCAATGGAAATTCAACACAAATGCTGATTGTAGTCTTGCTGGAAACTTTTCATGCCATTTGTTGACGAAGCCCTAATTTGAGAGATAATAATAATAACAGTAATAATCCTTACATTTGATATAGCGTATTATCATGTCATCAAGATGTCTTAAATTGCTTCACAGGATACACTGTAAAACCTTCATTTTCTATGTCGAGATCAAGGGAGATCACGGTCCACCAAGGTTCAAATGAATTATAAATGCTGATTTGCTTTGCCACTTGTCTGTTTTCCAGGCTGTGCAGTCTAACATTAAAGAAGCTGATTGTTATAAAGGAATTGGACAAGGAGCTCACCTCTGTCGTAATTGCAGTGAAAATGCAGGTAAGGTACTTGAATCACGTCCTGTACTTTCCTTTTTGGATGTGTAAGAACCCATAGAGCAGAACCGAGATAAGCTCCAGCCTTTATTGTAGTTTTGACTCTGAAATGGCAGCGTTCCTTTTTGTTTCCTCACTAAAGCATCATTTGTTGTCCTCCCCTTGAGATTGTTTTCAATCAGCCTCCCCGATTATGGAGTTCATTGAGTTCCCTCTGTACCTGTCAGTGAAATGAACTTGCCCGTTTGGCGGAGATACTGACTTCAGCATCTTTCATCAGTAATATAAGGACTGACAACAACATTACATATTACACAGCGCCTTTCAGGTCGGAAGGAAGTCCCAAGGCGCTGGACAGTTAAGGATTTGCACCCGAGCTGGGGGGTGGAATCAAGAGGGTTGGAGGGTGGCCGAAACACTGTTAAAAAGGGAAGTCTTGAGACGGGCCTTGAAGGAGGCAAATAGTGGGAACTGATCTCTCTCTCCTCTCTGTTATCTGCACGGATTTCCTCATTACTAGACTTAACCGAGCAGACTTGTAGCCTCAAGGATATCTGTAGAATTTGGACGGTTGCACTGACTAGCTCATCTCACTCGGCTTACTATGTTCTTTCTGCAGTGTGTTCGTGTGAACCTGCAACGGAATATATTGGCAAATCAGTCAGCACCTTCAAGAGATGTTGCGGAGGGGAGACCGTACAAAGAAAAGATTTTTTTGTCAGACAAACATTCTCCTGTGCACCGTCAGTACTCTGGTTCCTAAGTCAGGCAGATCCGCTTTTCTAATAGGTAGAAATGGTGGAGCGGGCAGGGCGGGGAACAAATGCTACTTTTCTAATACAAGCTGAGATACCAGTGAAGCACTATTGCTGAAATAGATACCGTATAAGGAAGGCATCTATTATATACACCCTCGCCCGACTCCACTGGCTCCCCCTCCCCCAGAGGATCGCGTTCAAGATCCTCGTCCTCACCTTTAAGGCCATCCATTGCTTTGCCCCCTCCTACCTCTCTGACCAGCTGACTCCCTACCAACCTGCCCGCTCCCTCCGCTCATCAGGCTCCGGCCTGCTCCATGTCTCCCGCCCTACCATCGGTGGCCGGGCTTCCAGCCTCTCTGCCCCCACACTCGGGAACTCCATCCCGCGGTCCCTTCGCCTCGCCTCCTCCCTTGCCTCCTTCAAAGCTGGTCTCAAGACCCTTCTCTTCGACCGTGCCTTTGGTCTCCCTCCCAGTTCTCTGCCTTCCCTCACCCCTACACCACCCCTCCCCCATGCTCGGGCCCTGATATCTGACTGTTCAGCGCTTTGGGATGTCCTCCCGACGTGAAAGGCGCTCTATAAATGTAATTTTGTTGTTGTTGTATGTTTAATGCTGAAACCTTCATGTTGCATTAAATCAACATGAAGAAACCTTTCATGTTGCAGTAAATCAGTACGTACAACATTTGTGGAGACTCTGTTACCTTGCCATTCTCTAGATTCTCCCTTTTCCCCTCTTGCACATTTCTGATTTGTTCATATTCTGTCATTGGAATTGCTACCTCCTGTTTTCTTTTCTGTGTCAGTCTATCAGATGACTTCAATTAATTTGCATCAGTGCAGCTCAAACCAAGGTTTATATTGAATAAGAGCATTGTTGAGATCAAAGCCCAATGCAAATTTATGAAAACTAGTCAGCTTCAGGAAGCCAACAGCATTCCTGTGTTGCTTTTATTTTTTCTTTATTCTAAGGATACTAAGGGTTTTCTTATCTCAGGTCTATAGTCCAATGAGAAAAAGGCATCCCATCATTTTACTACTACAACAAAATTACATTTGTATAGCACCTTTCACGTCGGGAGGATGTCCCAAGGTGCCGGGAATGTAGTGTTGAACACTCTACTCACCTTTCACAGGCCCAGTGATACTTGAAACTTGGTTGGGATGGGATGCTCCATTTATAGGGTAGAAGGACTTCTTTACTAAGCTTGTAGAGTATTTAATATCTTATTAATCCGAGTTCCCTGTTAATCTGCTCTTCTTGATCTGATTTCTCCAAGCTTCATATGATCTCCTCCGCTCAAAGCATTGGACAAGTCCTGGTCATCGCTAGCACAAGATACTGTGATATCGAGGGATATTCTGAGTAGTAATTGAGTTGCTCAGAATCTATCACCACATCCTTCACATTGCTCTCCTTCCCTGCATATCCAGTGTACTCTGCCACACAGTGTCCCAACAATACACCCACTCTGTGTCCTGAGGAGCATTTATTCAATCAGCCTGATTGACAGCACTCTCGCTTTGCTCACCTCCTGGCTGTTTAGGGGATCTTGCTGGCACAAATGACTACGAAGTTCGTACGCAGATAGTCACTCGACTCAACAGCAATTACCTGTGACGTGTTTGAGGTTCAGTGCTGTAAACTGCTATAAAATACAAACTCATCCTTTTTTCCCCAATCTAAACCGGTCTTATATTCGCCAATACCATTCCCAACCAGATACTTTTTATTACTTGACAAGGAATCAACGATTAAATTTTTGCGCTGTAAGTGCGAGCGTATATCTTCATAATATGCTCGCCATGGAAAAGGACAGTCAGCAGTATCTACAGTATACTTTGTCCATACAAAGCAGTGCCTAACCTGTGTGATGAGCACTATATCAGTTCACGTTAATATCTACTTTTCTCTTGGCCAGGGCTCTAAACGAATCTTGCGATCACATGAGATTATACTCCCACCCAGTGGCCTCGTGGAGACTGACCTCGCACTGACGTTCTCACTGCAGGTAAGAATTCATTTGATTTAATGAGTTGGATTGAAATTGAAACTGCTTTTTGGTGTAGTACCAGTTACTGAATTCTGGTGACGATGGATTTCTGTTCTGGGCAGCTGGCTCTGTCCAGAGAGAATCGGAAAGGGCCGCGATTAATGCTATCATACTGTCAGTGAGGTGAAATGCCATTGGGGAGGGGCTACTAGAGATATATGTCTGACTGTTAACTACTTTGTCTTTCTTTTTGCCACATAAACAGTATCCTCATTTTCTGAAAAGGGAAGGAAACAAGCTGCAGATTATGCTCCAGAGACGGAAAAGGTACAAGAACCGAACCATTCTGGGATACAAAACTCTGGCTGTGGGCTCTATCAGCATGGCAGAGGTGAGAGCCAACTTGTTGGCAAACTTTTGTTACAAAAACGGGGTAGAGGGTCAAAGTGGGGACAGTTGAAATCTAACCACAAGAAACATTGGAAACGTACAGCCTGAAACACAGCAACAAATAACATTTGTATAGTGCCTTTCACGTCAACAGGATGTCCCAAACCTCTGGACTGTTAAGGGTCTAAGACTGAAAAGACCAAGAAATCTTTCTCTTCAACAGAATGTGTTCAAATCCACTCCGATTCGTGGTGCAATGGATTCGCCCCACCATGTGGTGACAGGCTGAATCGCCATATCCTGAGGTCCTGATTTCTAATGTGGAGGACGCATCGAGTGGATGAACACCTTGTGATTAGGAAGGAGGGCAATCCTGAAGCAGATTTAGTCCATGTTGCTATACTAGCACCTTTCTTAGTATAGCAATACCTGTCTGGCTCAGTTTGGTGAGAGGAGCTGGGAGCAATAGAAATACCTGGTCAATAAACTGCAACATCAACACATCGTATTTATATAGCATCCCAGCTATATAATAATAATAATAATAATCCTTGCATTTGATATAGCGCTATATACAGAGCGCCATATACATATATATATACATATATATAGATATACACATCTATATAGTCTGATATTAACAGTGAGAACCTCTATATAGTCTGATATTAACAGTGAGCACCTCTATATAGTCTGATATTAACAGTGAGAACCTCTATATAATCTGATATTAACAGTGAGACACATCTATATAGTCTGATATTACAGTGACACATCTATATAGTCTGATATTAACGGTGAGAACCTCTATATAGTCTGATATTAACAGTGAGAACCTCTGTATAGTCTGATATTAACAGTGAGAACTGGCTTTGAAAGTGAGGACAGGGATTTTAAACTTGATCATCTGGAGGATGGGGAGCCAGTGAACCAGGCGAAGATGGGGGCGGGAGTGGTGATCAGTTCACCTTGATCTCAAGCGTGGCAGAGCAGGAGCAGAGTATTTGAACATAGCAATGTTTTGTGACAAGTGATGGGGTTTTGTGTATTTTTGTAATGCAGGTGATGCAACACCCGACAGAGGGAGGCCAGATACTTACTCTGCTCAGTAACCTGAAGGAGGCAGCTGTGAAAGTGGCTGAAATCTGGATCTTTGCGCTGTCCAGTCAACCGATTGACCACGAGGACAGCGCCATGCAGCCCATTCAGAAAATCAAGTCAACAGGTAGGACTAGAACATGTGCTTGAGTGGTAGTAATCAGTGAGATGTGTTGTTTAATTATTTCCACCATATTTCCCATTTACACCATCCACTTAGAAATGGGAGAGGTGGGCACTTTTATTGTTGTGTGATCATTCTAAATGTAGTTATCTGGTAGTACAGGGCACTTAATAAACCAGGGAGAAGTGACACACATCAAGGGCTAAACAGCCCCCTTCTGTGTAGAAAATCAAGCTTGTTCCGGTAGTTTATTAGAACTTGGCAGGTATTTCATAATAAAATATAATAATCCTTGCATTTGATATTGCGCCTTATCACGTCGTTGAGACGTCTCAAAGCGCTTCACAGAATATACTATAAAGTAAATGACTATACATTTTGTGGGCAAAAAGCAGCAGCCAATTGCGCACAGCATTGTCCCACAAACAATCGTGAATTTAGTGACCACATTTTTTTTGGAGGGATTATTATCTCTGGAAAGCGACCCACTGATCCATAGTAACAACCGGGTTCCTATTTACTGCTAGGTAAACAGAGGGTTGTGGAAACTTGCCTTAGTTTATTTTTTCTTTTTAAACGGCTTTCTGGGGCAGAACATTCTGCATCTTCACATTACATCTATGTGAAGAAATGCTTCTTGACTTCAGTTCCAATTGTGTGTGTGTGTGTATATTTAGTTGAATTTCGCTCTTATGACAGAATTAATGAGCTTTAAAAAATTGCCAATAGTGTCTAATTTCATCGAGTCTAGTTTCATCTGTGTGTGTGTGTGTGTGTGTGTATGCACACACAAAGAGCGCATTTGCATAGAATCATACAACTTTTCTACACAGAAGGGAGTTTTCACCTCATTGTGTCTGTGCTCCTCTTACCCTTTTTATTAATCCCATCGTCAAGCTCTCTCCCCATATCTCCCAATGCTTTTAATGCTTAAGCGTTCCTCAAAAAGAGGTTGCCCAACATGAAGCTTGAACCCATGAATGTGGGACGCTCTAACAAGTGAGCTAGTCAGGCATGCATATATATCTGTGTGCATGTGTGCATCCGTGCCTGTATATATGCGTGTGTGTGTGTGTGTGTGCCCGCACACGTGCATCTTTGCACAAGAATGGTGCTGTTAATCTTTCCATTATTTTACAGACAATTATTCAGAAGAAGAATATGAAAGCTTTTCTTCCGAGCAGGAAGCCAGTGATGATGCTGTTCAAGGACAAGTATGTCAAACCGTGGGAAATATTTGCAAAATATTTCTTTTCAGGCCAGCCAAGTGTTTTCGGGGCAGTCATTGGTTGGTTTGTGTGTGTGGAATGGGTGGAGGTGGGGGGTTGTGGGTGGATGGGCCAGCATGGGAAGCTCCCAAACTTCCTTCTCTTCAGCACATTTTAATCCATGCCTTGCTCTTGACCCTGTGACCTTAGTTTGTAAAGAAATGTTTAATAAAGCTCTTTTAACAAATGCTTTCTTTGGAAGTTGAAGTGCAGTACATTGTATGGCTTCACACAGTCAATGTCATTACAAGAGTTGATTCACAAGAACATTCGTAACTAATGAGTTCCAAATGCATTGCAGCCAACCCTTTAGATAATCCACTCAGACACCTCTGTAAATTTGGCATTCAAAGTGAATTTCCAGTGGGTCGATGGCAAAATATCCAGCAGTTAAGACTTACGATTCTTCAGTTCTCTTAGTATTGGGTGCTCAGTTATATTTTGGGATTAAGGCGTGTTGTGGAGCAGACCTTTGTAATACAGCTGTTGTAATACAATTTACAATCAAATTTAGACTGCCTTTCACCGCCTTCCACATCGGGAGAAGTATTAAAGCGCTTGATAATTTGGGCTGTGCACTAGAATTGAGAGGGGAGAGGGGGGGGGGAAAGATGCCCGAATTGCCAGTCAATTTTTGAGGCGTACAAAAGGGGAAGTGTGAATAATATTAATTTTCCAATATGAAGGACAGTTTTTATTTATATTTTAGGATTTAGATGATGATGAATATGAGGTTGGAAAACCAAAAAAACAACGGCGAAGTATTGTGAGAACAACCTCCATCACAAGGGTATGTTTATCTGATCAGTGTTTGCTTTCTAATCGGCGTGTGTATGGGTTTGTGAGAAAGACGCTGATCACATACGCAAAAGCTTCCTCTGTCCATCACCGTCCGTCCAGCATTCCCAGGTCAGCCATAGCACGGGTTAGATACAGAGCAAAGCTCCCTCTACACTGTCCATCCAGCACTCCCAGATCAGCTACAGCATGGGTTACGGTTTCAGTATTACACTTTCCTTCTCTTTTACAACAATAATTTCCAATTATAAAGATATAAGTAGGGATTTAAGTGGATGGTTCCAATGGGGAACTAGTATTTCACAGACAAGATGGGTCGAATGATGTCTGTTTTGATGTTCCCCTACTGTGAAATCTCTTTAGTTTGATACACACTACTGTGGTCCTGAAAGAGTTAATGTATACTTTTATCTTTCCAGCAACAAAATTTTAAGCAGAAGGTGGTTGCATTGCTGAAGAGATTTAAAGTTTCAGATGAGGTACGTGTATTGTTAGAGGTTAAAGGGGGTTATGAACTGAACGGAACGAATGGTTTAAGTATAACTCTTTCCTTCTCCCAGTCATTCATCAGAACATAAGAATTGCTACTCAAAAAAAGTCCAAAATCCATCCAATTCTGTTTCCACCATCCTGGCAGCCACATGCAATATCATGTCCTAAACTTGGTTTTAAAATCCAGCCTGTGTTCTATCATCTTTCTGATGAGATGTTAAACTGAGGTCCTGCCTTTGCCTGTTCAGGTGGTCGTTAAAGATTCCATGGCACTGTTCAAAAAGAGAAGAGAGTTTCTCCTGGTGTCTTGAGCAACAATCTCCTAGATAAAATTGGTCCTTCCTTTCATTGCCAAAGAAGGCAAGAGAGATCCCATTACTGCTATCAGCTGATCACTGGGCGGAGAGATCCTAACGTTACAGGCTCCTGTAGTCCGGGGAAGAGCGCTGCTGCTGTCAATCCCTCCTGCAAACTCGTGAGACTTTCTACTCTTAATGCCAATATCCTCTACCCCCAAAGATTCCCAATCACACCCACACCCAAGTTCATAGCAAGCTGCTTTGTGTTTTATGTAGTGAAGTGAGCGCATTTTTGAAAAAAGGCCTGTATTGCTTATATTGAGTGGGTGAGCTTCAGTAACAGTGTGGAATTAAGGGTGTTGTTTGGTGCTACAGGTGCTGGACTCGGAGCAGGACCCCACAGATAATGTGCAGGAAGTGGAGGAGGATCTGGACCTGCTGTATGACAGTTTGGACGTGGAGAACCCCAGTGACAGTGGTCCGGATATGGATGACGATGACAGTGTACTCAGCACTCCTAAACCCAAACTCAAGTATGGAGGCCTCTGTTCGACACGCGTGTCTTCTGTGCCTGGTGTAAATAATTAAACTAATTAAAAGCTGTTGCAAGCTTCCCTCAATGGCTCAGTGGGTGAATGCACAGCTCGCTGTAGTACTGAGCCATATATAAAAGTCCTGGGTTTGATCCCTTTGTGTGGATGTCTATCAAGAGGGCTTCAGTCCTCATGGGTTAGGGAGGGGGAGAAATCAGTCTGTCTTTCCACTTCTGGTCACTGTTATTTTGCATTTATCAGTTTGAGATTTGCTGATGTAAATCCAGTTGCTTGTCTAGCTAGATCCACCTACCCGTTAGGGCTTTGACTTGTAGGGTTAACAGGAGCTGAGTGGGAGGATTCCCTGCCCCCAATAACTAGTCTGCTCTTCCAAGTCCTGCTGATAAGCCAGGCTGGCTGGGCTGTTATCAACAATGCCCTGGAGTACTGTGGATCCGCCTGGCTCGAGGCCACCACAGCTGGCTCTGTGCTTTAAATGAGATGCAAGTTGACAGACAATAATAATACGTGCTGGAAATCCTCAGCAGGCAGATCAGCATCTGAAGGAGCACAACCAGTTACGGTTGCCAAGTTCTTTTTGACTCGATTACTGACCTGTAGATCACTGGTATTTCTGCTTTTATTTAACATCCACATTGTACTAATGGCATAGTACTGTACAATAGTAATATGTATTTAAAATAAGCCTTTCAAAATATTATACCAGTCCTAGTTAATTAATTTTTGCTAAACAATGTTAAATGTGCCAGGTCTATAAAGTATCTGTTTATTTGAATTGTAAATGTGTTTGTGTTTGACTGCCTGCTGCCAGTTCTGACCGCAGCTATGTATGTTACTTTGCAGACCTTATTTTGAAGGCTTATCACACTCCAGCTCTCAGACTGAAATCGGCAGCATCCATAGTTTGAGGAGCCAGACCAAGGAACCTCCTAGTCCAGTAAGCCACATGCACATAGATTTCTATTGATACAAGCGAAACTTGTGCTCCTGATCGTTCCTACCTTGATGTTTCATCACAAGTGATCTGAAGCAGGTTTAGTTTAGTGGAATGTTTGTTCCTACAGATTGGAGGAACCCAACTGACCGAGTCTAGTTTTCCAATAATCTGTAAATTTGCTGACGATCTTAATTTGTTCCCAGTTGTTTGGGCTTGAGACTGAGTCTCTGTCTGTTTACCTCTCCCACTGTCGTACCTGTTTTCCACCACTAGATGTTAATATTGAGCCGTATTATTATATTAAATCACTGGAAATGGCACTGTCCTGTGGTAACTTGTCAGTACTACAGCACACACAGTATTTGTTAATAGATTAAAGTTCATTTTTTTAACACAAAGTCATCTGAGCAGGATGAAGGAATGATTCAGTACTTTGGTATTTGAAACGTCCTGAGATTCTAGTGTGTCAGTGGACGCGAGAGCCTCTGTTTCTTTTCCTCTCTGTGGCCATTGCTTGACACTATTCCAGGACATTACAGCCGAGATCAATGGAAGGAATGCTGTACTGCACCTATACACCTCTGTTACTGTGACAACCTGCACTTAATGCCGAAAAGAGGGAGTCTTGACATTAGGAACCTCTTTATGGTTAAACTGTTAATGATCGAGATGTGCTGACACACATTAACACCCTTGTCATCATGGAATACAAATTATTCCTTTTATTTTCCTTTCTCCCCTCAGCTTTGGAAGGTTTTGCTGGACTATAGTTCTGCATGTGCTGACGTTCCTCCACTACCTCCCCCAACTGGCTTATTGTCACAGGATGACTCTGTGCTTGTATTTTCCTGCTAAAGTTACTGAATATTGTACAGTGCTGATGGTTTTAAATTCCTCCTGCCGCCTCTCGAGTCCTTAGCCCAACGATGCTTATAGTTATACTACTTATACAGCCGAGCATAACTGTAGTCAGTTAATTGAGCCTTCCAGGCCTGGTCTGAGGTTCAGTTTCACACTAAGCATTACTCACTGAGCTATGAGGGATCATCTTCACTACCCAAGCCTTCTCTACTCTAACATGGGCAGAGAGATAATGTTCCAATTCAGTCAACAAATGGAATTGTGTGACATCTGTAGATTAATATCAAGTGAGAGCAGGAAGAGACAAACCATTAAATAAGAGCTTTATCAACTGAGCGAGAGAAATGTCATAATGAATTGGAGAGAGTATACACAGTCATGAGGCGTTAAGAGTTTGATTCTCATTAACTGATAGGAGGTTGCTAACGTGACAAATTCTGTTAATTGTAGCAATTAATTTGCGATGATTACTGTAAGCTTATTGTTCGAGGAGAAACATTCCCCCTTGATCCTAATTAGAAAATGGATTGCAGGTAGAAAAATACTGATTCTATTATTCATTGGCAAATCGAGAGGTTTATATCTGGCTACTTCTGATTTATGAATTGTCCTGAACTCAGTTGTGGCCTAAAAAGGCCCATGGGAGAAGCTGAGGGCACTGGTTCCTGACTGCAGCCGAATTAATAATGCATGGAGAACTGTACTACCGCAACCCATTTTTAGAGTGACTGACTTTCTGTAGTATGCCCCAACACTTAAGTCTGTGAATTTAAAAAGCAGCTTGATGCTGTGATGGGAGGGTCGGAGGGTGTTCTGGAAAGATGAGATCGGATGGGCCAAAGGGCCTTCTTCTAATCTTGTGATCTGCTGGGGTGCAGAGATCGGTGTGTGAAGCAATTCATGGAGCTGACTTGTGGTTGGAAGGCTTAAGGCAGTTTGATTCCTTCAGCACGCAAATAAAAAGGGGTGAATGGGAAATATTCTCCACACTTCTCAATAGTTATTTTTTATAACAATGTACAGGACTAGAAAACAACAAGTTTAAATATTAATCAGCCAAACTGTATTCCTTTGTGAATTTTACCTACTTGAATTCAATAGGTTAGTCTTCGGTACATTAGATTAGTAAATATCCCAGTGTAAGACCCTCAAGCGGGAAGAGACTTTAGCTCTGCTCTGCTCTGATTCCCTGCCGCCAGCTATCATTTGTGAAGGCTTTCTGTAACTCTTTAAATCTTTAAATGTGCATGTGCCCAGAGCTCTGATAAGCAGAGCAAGTGTCCTACGAACTTGATCTAGGCCCTCTCTTGCATGACAATATTCCTTATTTGCAAAGCTTGCCGCAGGTGGCACTACCGAACCTTTATTAATGAAGAGTTACAAGAGTCTAAAACTTTAATGCTTTATTTGTCCTTCAGTAAGCAACAAGTATGACTATGACACAGGGCGATTGAATTAAATGTAGATTTAAATAACACAGCCTACAGACCAAATAGCACAATAGTAACTGATTACAACAACAACAACTTGCGCCCTTCACAAGGGTAGCATCCCAGAGAGTTTCACAATGGCGGAGACTGACAACGACCCAAGGGGAGATGGGATAAGTACTCTGAAGTACAGGTGTCGTCTCAAATCAATATACTCCAAACCTACCACAAAACCACAGGCAAAACCCCTTTCCTGGTGTCCTTTGATGTCCTTCCTGAATCTCTTCTATTGGTGTCCATTAATTGTCATCATTAAAGGGATCTCTCCACATCTCCCCCTCTCCAGATTTTGTCCTCACACGTTCGCTTAATTTATCTGATCTTTCTGCCCAATCTGATGCCTGTTCCTACGGTTTCCCTCTGCTTCTCTTAATGTTTCCCTCAACATTTGTATTTGTATTTGTACTGGTGACATTTCACTGTTCTCTATAAGTGTGTTTTTGTGTGCCAAGATCACCAAGTGTTTGTCCTCTTGTATCCTCAGCTTTTGTCCACATTTTCTTTGTCTGGATTGTTCACGCCACAGTCCACTTGCTCTGTGGATATGCTGGGGAGGCTGTCTGGTGCTCTGTCCTACAACTCTTCGGTGAATCTTCTATATTCCTCACTCTTATTGTGATCCTCGTGGCTGATTATAGCCTTGGATATTCCATACCACGCAAACATTTCGTTTTATTATTGATTACCATTTCTGCAGTCGTGTCCTATTGTTCCGCATATTCAAAATATCGTGATGTGTAAATCAACTATGAAGATGGAGTCCTGCAGTGTATTGGTTAGAACACCTGCCTCACAAGCGAGAAGACGGGTTTGATTCCCGAGCAGTGCAAAATCTTGGGCAGGTTTTCTTACTCCACACGCTTCCTTATTTTGATATCTGGCACGTTTTGCATTTTCCAATGTAGTCTTCTATTTGACTATTAATGCCAGGCCAAAATATCATCTCTCTTGTTCTTCTCTGACCTTTGCTGGTGCCTTCTTCCTGCTTTCAGATCATCTAACATATTATTTACTGCTTCCATCTCGTATGAGTGCCTCTTGTTTCCTTCTATTGTTTTGTTGTCAAGGCTAATTACCTTGCGTTGTACTTCATTTCATTCCCCCTTTATTTATTCCCAATTATTTATGTCAATATAATGTATTACACTGGGAATCCCTTCTAGTCTTCGCGATAATTTCTATTGACATTCTCCAAACCCAATATATTCCTAATGGTGTTAAGAATGATGTTAAGTAAGCACTATTCTTGGCCAATTTAACTTACAATATTCTGACAAACAATCCAATGTTAAAATAAAGTTTGCTCCATGTAGTAACTCGTGCATATGAGGTTGGTATTGCATAATGCCCTACTACAATCGCCTCTCTCTCCTCTTCCACTTTTTCCTGAGCAGATTGAAGGACCTGAAAAGCTCAAGAGCTCTGCCAGCAGGTTCCAGATTGACAGCGTTTCCGACACATTGTCAGTGGTGAGTATTTTGTGTTGTGCTGGTGATGGAGGGAAATGGGACTTTGTCCTCAAATGGTGCACCCTTTTTGAGGTGAACGTTATAAACCATTTGAACTCCTCGGTTAGATTCCAGCCTGTAAGTCTCTCCTGGCTGTCCAGTCAAGACAGTGATCCAGCAAGGTCACTGGGTGGAATCATGGTCTGCTTCACGTCCCTGGTCTTGCTCGCCCCACTATCAGCGGGCGGGCCTTCCGCCACTCTGCACCCACCCTCTGGAATACTATCCTACAGTTCCTCCGTCTTGCCCCCTCCCTCGCCACTTTCAAGACCCTCCTCTTCGACCGGGCTTTCAATCTCTCTCCTCCCCCCCCCCCACTGCCCTCTGCCCTTCACCCTCCCCACCCTGACCCTCAGCTCGGGTCCGTATCTCTGTCCGTCCAGCGCCTTGGGCCATCCTCCCGACGCGAAAGGGGCTTTTACACATGTAATTTTGTTGTTGTAAATCTGTCCGTCATTACCTATCTTTGCAATATTACTGACATGATAGGAGATACGTGAAAATGTAGCCCAATCTAAAGTTTTTAGATTTGTGAATCCAGTGAAATATTGAGCACCAATACTCCAGCTGCCTGATCCTAAGAGACTGTTCCCAGCTGCCTGATTAGGCTGCAGTGAAGTCGCGGATATTTGCTTGGATTGCTGTTATAAGCGACAATCCTCTTGACAGCTTGTAGAGAGATAAGAGAGAACCTTTGATGCTGGTTGTGAGTAGTGCCTGTGTGATGTGCCTGTGAGCAGTCTATGCACAGCTCGTGCCTTTAAATGTTTATTTATCTACTCTTTCCCTCCCCTCTCCCATCTCCCCCTCGTCCCCATCTCCCCATCACCCACCCTGTAAGGATCAAATGCAGCGTCATGAGGAGGCAGCAGCAGCAGCTGAAACGATCAGTTCAGATACTTTCCTGGAGAAGCTTCCGCCCAGTGGAAAAATCACCAAGACAGAGTCCTTGATCATCTCTTCTACCAGGTAGGCTTGTTACACTAGTTGATAACACAACTATAAGCAGCGTGGGTTTGTGTCTGTCCCTGGAATTATCCTGTAGCCTCTACAACATTCACTTCATTTCTGATCAGTACATTTTGTGAAGTGGATACCGACCCAGCTGTCCAGCGCCTTGGGATGTCCTCCCGACGTGAAAGGCGCTCTATAAATGAAAAAAAATAAATGAAGTGCTACGAGGCCTTTTTTTTCACGTAAAAGCCGCTGTATAAATGCAAGCTTACACACAACCTGTCAGTCTGTGGGACATTGCTGTACGAAAATTGGCTGCCGCATTTACCTATATTATACAGTCACTACCGCACTTCATAGCATATCCTGTCTTCACATACATACATCGCTTCCTATTGAGTGATGGTTTCATCAGTTGGAGTTGTGGAGTTTGAGCAATTAAAGAGTTATGATCAGACTGCCTGATCTAATATCATTATCGCTCCACAATATACCACTTCTGGCTTCCAGTATTGACTTTTGTGAGCACCTAATATCACACTGTAGTTACCATGACTGTGGCTTACATTTCCTATTAGGAAGCCTATTGTCTCAGTAAACATTCCCATCTGTCTTATGACCTGTTACACCTCTGACAGACAGTGCGTTCTGTGCCTCTGAGATACAAACTCGGGATGTAATTGGCAGGCAAATGGCTGAGGGAAAGGAAGCCACTTTCGACAAACTAGGGAGTAAAAGAATATTGAATATAACGATTATACAAAGGGTCTTGTTCTTAAGATTTGTATATTAATATCACATTGTTTCATAGAATTATATAGAATGGAAACGGGATATTCAGTCCAACGAGTCCCTGAGGTGTTAATATTTCACATGAGCCTTCACCCTGCCTAATCCCCCTCTTATACCCCTCTATTCCAGTCTCCCTCATGACTTTATTACATTATTGCAGAGCTGCTAAAATATTATCCTAGATCTCATGTTTACTGTCCAAGCAGTTCTCTGTAACTACCCAAATGACTGGTTAATATGAAAGATGTATTCTTCCCCAGGGTCCTACATTGCAGAATAGTGAACCATAACCACTTCTGCAGTGGTTTTGGGGCCTCTTAAAATATATTGAAGCAAATCTCTCACCACTGCTGCTTGTAAATGCTGAATGGCAGCTAGTGAATTATAGCCAGTAATGTAACTTGTGTTTGGATGAAGAACATTAATCACTCACCTCTCAGTAAATAACATCATCAGAACTCCTTGATTGGATTACTGCATGTAACAGGGTGAGAATTGACCTCTGTGTACTGATAGCATAACTACAAGCAGTGTGGGCCTGTGTCTCACACGGGAATTATCCTGTAGCCTCTCTACAATGATCACTCCATTTCTAACCAGTAAAGTTAGTGAAGTGCTACAAGGCTTTTATTTTTACACAAAAGACACTTTATAAAATCGACCTTACTCACTTCCTGGCTATGGGACATTCCTGTGCGCAATTTGGCTGCTACGTTCACCTGCAATATACAGCCACTGCACATCAAAGTATATCATGTGAAGCATTATGAGGCTTTTATTTTTTGACGAAAGACACTAAGGACAAGGCAATGCCATCAGACTTCTTATATTGCAGTGCGATGTTTAGTGCAGGCACATTATGGCTCCACAATATACAACGTACACTTCTGGCTTTCAGTATTGACTTTTGTGAGCACCTAATATCACAATGTAGTTACCATGACTGTGGCTTACGTTTCCTATTAGGAAGCCTATTGTCTCAGTAAACGTTTCCCTCTGTCTTGTGACCTGTTCCCCGCCCCCACCTGCCCCTGCCTGGCAAATAGTGCTTTTAGTATTGTGTTTGACAAGGTTGCCTTCAGCCATGTGCTCCTAATGTCTGCCTTCTCCCTGTGTGCGCGGCAGATCGGAGGGGAAGCAGACAGGCCGCCGCGGCAGAAGTACTTCACTGAAGGAACGCCAGCCCACTCGGCAGCAGAACGAGCGGGCAAACAGCCTGGACAATGAGCGCTCGCCAGAGAATCGGCAGAACCTGCAGGTAAGCAACAACAACAACTTACACTTATATAACGCCCTGCGTGCATGGCAGCGTCTCAGAGCGCTTTAGAGGCAGCAGCCACACAGCATGGTCTTAAGAAGCTAACTTGGTCAATCATTTTCTGCTTCTCCAAACCCAAATAAAACTATCCGAAGGGGAAAAAAATTAAATGGCAATTCTGTCTCTTGCAGCTGTATGATACAATGATTACAGCTCTACGTGTGTGATTTGCTTTCTCTTGCTTTCTGATCACTGACATAGGGTTAGTGTTGAAGTGGTTTTAGCTGCAACTTGTAACCATTCTTAATTTCTTTTTAAAAGGAGCTTTTGAAAGAGGTGCATTTAATATGGACCACAGTATTCAGTGTAAGCAGAATAATTTTAGCTGTGAGGGAACTATGACTGGGCATGATAGAGGAGTTGTGTGTGGAGGTAACTTCCTCTCCTTTACCTCCTCTCCTGAAGGCACCAACTTGTGCTTTGCGTGTTTGCTGAAACTCTCCGATACCTCAGCCAAGTGGCCATTCCCTTCGTGTCACCTTACAGTTGAATGTGCAAATGAGTGAAAAAGTTTCAGGTAACATTTAACCAACAAAGTGGATGTTGAAGATCCCATGGCACTATTTTGAAAAGAGAATGGAGTTTCTCCTGGTGTCCTGATCAACAATCCTCCAGATAAAATTAGTTACTCACTCATAGCTGTTTATGAGATATTGCCAAGTACAAATTGCCTGCCGAGTTCATCAACAAATCAATCATTACAGTCATTACCCTTTATGAATCATATGGAGACATCTTGATGTTTGGCACCATATGAAATATCATTATTATTTAGATTGTGGGGAAGAGAAGGTAGAATGCCATGTCACCAATGTCCCTGCCCACTTGCACACACTTTTGACGAAATAAAATGGACATTTGCAGAAATCTCAAGAGTAGAATCAGGCTGGCTCAGTGGTAGCACTCTCATTTCTGAGTCAGAAGGCTGTGGGTTCAAGCCCCACTTCGGGACTTGGAATCACATAGCCTAAACTGACACTGCAAAGAGGCGCTGTCCTTTGGATGAGATGTTAAACCCTCTGCCGGTTTAGGAGGATGTTAAAGATCCCAAGGTACTATTTGAAAAGAAAAAGGAGTTGCTCCTGGTTTACTGGCCAACAATCCCCCAAATAAAATTGGTCACTTGCTCCGAGGCTGTTTGAGGGAGATTGCCGAGGATAAACTAGCTGCTGGATTTCGCCCACAAAATACACAGTCAATCCAATTTACAGTATTTGCCTGAAGCATTTTGAGACGTCTATGATGTGATAAGGTGCTATATTCAAAAAATATCAAATGCAAGGATTATTATTATTAGAATATTTGCTCCCACTCCTACCTGGGAATGATGAGCGGCAGAAAGATAACTGGAGATGGAGTGGAAACCATATCAGCCCCTTGTTTGTGTCAAGTGTTGCCTTAAGCGGATGATGCTGACATGACACTATTCTTTTCTGTAGCTTATCTGGTGACCTCCTTTGGTATGTGGAACACAACTGTGACCAGATACCAGGGTTTTGTGATTCCCTCTGTTACATATTCTGGAACCATTTACAATTCTTGGCTCAGACTGACACTGCTCTGTTCCTTCCAGGGTATGTCTGGAACTGAGAGGTTTTGGCTGAGATGCTCTGTTTTGGTTCCTCGATTTCCTCAGCTGTCAGCTGCAGCGTCCAGCTAACGGGAGAAATGAGCAGTGAATTCCTACAGGAAATCAACCTGCATTATAAGATGTTTAAGGACCAAGTTTGACCATCTGGAATCCTGCTTAAATGACAAAATGGAGGTGTTGAAGCTGATAGCACAACAGTTCCGAATTAGTTTTACGTAGATTGTTGTGCTGAAGGTCATCTTCCCACAGTTCATCAGTGAGCGTTTAATCCAGTTCAAACTCCATGTCGTTCCTCGTTGGCACTAGAGAATAACACTGGAAATCTGACACAAATCCAGTATTTTCTGCTCTCAACACTGATAACATAGCAACAGTTTCAGGCAGCCGTTAATCAATCCAGTTTCCTTCAATTTATATAGTTCTAAATCTAATAGGTAGCTTGCTCAGTCTATAAGCAATCTTGCCTCTGGTTAAGCATGTTGTCAGTTTAAGCCCCATATTGGCATTTGAGTTTGTATTCTAGCTGACAGTCCACTGCGATAATGTTAGGGAAGTGCTGTATTATCGGAGGTGAGTTTTAACATCTCATTCAACCTTTGAATGAGATGTTAAAACCAAGGATCCATCCATCTGTTAAATTAGATGTTAAAGATCGCATAACCTTGTTTGAAAAGAGAAAGGTAGTTCCCCCAGTGTCCTGGCCAAGAACCCTCCAGATAAATTCACCCCATGGCTACTTGTTAGGACCTTCTGTACACAAATTGGCCGCCGGGTTTGTCACTCCATTGACAGCAGTTGGATGTAAAGCTTGTTGATACGGTTCAACATTATCTGCAGACAGAAGTGATTTAAACAGGTCTGAATTATGAAGGGGAAAGTGAGTGTCTGTTTAGTGTTCACAAGTGTATGTGATAGTGAGTCAGGTAAAGACAATATTGGGCTTGACCCAACCAGTGGCCACTTGGGTGAGGTAGTGGCTTTTTTCACTGTCTAGATCCATACAGCCAGTGGCCTCTTGGAGCATGTACTAACGGTTGCCGCTGGTGAGGGAGCACTTGGAACCAGAGCTCATTGTGAGCGGGCCTTGAGGGGAGGAAGAATGGAGTGGATTTTTTGGGAAAAAATGTATCTATCATCTCTTATTTCAAATCCCCACTTCTCATTTGCCCTCCTTTGCCACTCAATTTACATTGAATGAAGCTGTGTGACTGCTAATCTTCATCCATTGACTTCAAAGGGCACTACCATGACATTGGTGACCAACGTGAGGAGAGCCGCATTCACTCAAGTAAGTGAGCGGTGAATCTTTTATTCTGTACCGTTTAAAACTTTGAGCTTTTTAAGTTTACTCAACAAAACTTTGCAAACAGTACACTTTGTCTAAACGCAGAGGTGGCGAGGAGTGATATCGAGGCAGCTGCTCATTGGTTGGTGCTCGAATGATGGAGGCCCTGTCCTGAGTGGTCTGATTCAGGCACCGTCTCTCTCTCTCTCTGTCTCTCTCTCGCTGCCATTCACTCTCTGTTGTCCATTATTGTACAGTTAAAGCCCTCTGAGCCAATGTAAACCAGGGTCCAATATTGGCACCTATTAGAGGAACAGTATTGCTGCTAAATACAGGCACGTAGTATGTGAATTATCATGCTGTACTGTGGTTAGCCAACGAGAAGGCACAGAATCTGATTCTGGCCCCACCATTTAGGCATGTGTTAGCTCTGACAATGAGTGTTGGCTGGATAATTGATTATAGTCTGCAGCAGAAAGCTTCCGCTGAGCCAGATCTGCCCACATCTGATTCACAAACAAACAACCAGTGGTGTCTCTGAATAGTGACCAGGAGCAGGAACTGGCTTCTTTTCCCCTCCATAAGGACACAGAGGCAAATTCTAGCACCCTTACCACCATCCAACTGAGATCAGCCAACTCAGCACATGGAACCCTGCCCTGGAGAAGAAATGAATCAAACACCTTCAAGAAAGAAAGACTGGAGGGAACGAAATGGTGATTTTTAAAATAAAAGTCTTGTTTTTATCAATGTTTGCAGATCCCTCGGAAAACAGTGTATGACCAGTTGAACCACATCCTAATATCGGATGAGCAGTTACCGGAAAATATAATCCTGATCAATACTTCAGAGTGGCAGGGCCAGGTAAGCACCAACCCAAGAGGCTGACGTGGGGCTGAGTTTCTCTCATAAAAGGCTCATTCGTATCAGGCTATAGAGGAATTATCGCTGTTTATCAATATATCAATGTAGAGTGCTTACAAGTGTAGAGTTGCTTGTACGCAATCTACACTGATAATAATAATAATCCTCGCATTTGATATAGCGCTTTTCACGTCGGGAGGACGTCCCAAAGCGCTTCACAGAACACACTGTAAAGTGAATTGACTATATTTGTGGGCGAACGCAGCAGTCAATTGCGCACAGCAATGTCCCACAAACATCATAGATTGAAAATGACCAATTTATTATTGTTTTGTTTTGGAAGGATTATTATTAGGCTCTGTGTGGAGTAAGGAAACTTGCCCTGCCTGGAATTGAACTCGGGTCTCTCTCTTGCAAAGCGAGTGCTCTAACCACTGAGCTACAGGACTCCACTAATTGATAAACAGTGATAACAACAAACTGCATTTATACCTCGCCTTATATCCGGAGGATGCCCCGAGGTGCTCGTTTACAGTCGTACAAGTAAAACTTGTATAGTTCAGGTGGTTACAATATGGCGAGGCTAGAGGCAGTGAAGAGGAGAATAATGGGACTGCTCCCAGGTGCAGGATGAACTGATAATCTAAGGTCCCTATGCCTCAAAACCAGATGCTTTAAAGGGAATCTTATAGAGATATAATGCTTAAAGAAACTAAATCAATGTGCCACAACAGGAAGAGAGGTGGAGGCCAGAACCTTGTGCTCTCAACAATGTGCAATGGGAAAACAGGGTTTGGTATTCGGAAGGAGTAGATCAATTTAACTAAAGTGCCATTGTATCTGAACTACTCTCGTGGTATAATGACTTATGTCTTTCAGTACGTGTCGGAGTTACTGCAGAAACACAACCTTCCTATTGTGTGCACGTGCTCTGCTGCTGACATACAGGCAGCCTTCTCAACCATCGTCTCTAGGATACAGCGCTTGTAAGTTCCAACAATCCTTGTTCAAGACATTACAGGGTGTGTGGGTGTCTCCTCTCCCCACTCACTGCCACACCACTGAACCCTAGTCTGTTTCAGAGCTTTTCTTGAAACAAGTAAGTGCTTTCATCTTCACCAGTGCCCAATCTTTCATGCCCGCAAAGCAGAGAGTGTTTGCTTGATTTATCGAATCACAAATAACTTTTGGAAAATGACTCTGTCGTGTTTTATAAATGTGCCCTTCTTAAAGAAGAATTGCTCTCGGGGCAGCTAACTAGAAACAGCCAGATCCATTACCTTTCAAGCTTACTGACTGGAGGTGGTGGTTGATTAGGACATTGTGGCCCAGATCAGAGCTGTAAGTTATTGCACTTTACTACAATAAAATGTGGGTCTGCATCCTACCTCTCTTGTGTTTCTAAGACTGGTTTGCATTTTCTGCCCATGTTAAAGGCAGTCAGAGAACAGCAATACCTTAATTCTAAACAGCTCCTTCCCTAGTGTAGTAACAAATGAGTACAATTCTGATGTTAAATAACACATCCCCAAATTCCTTTACATAAGTACAGTGGCACACAGAGGTCTTTCATTGCTGCAGGGTTCAGAAGTATTATTTTCGTGTCAGTTGTGCTGTGTGCACAGACTGGAAGCTGATTTGAAATCAGATAGTTTGAGTTTTTGGAGAACATAGTTTATTACTTTGATTTATAGTGAAATCTGACTTTAAAGCTCCCTATGAACCCAGTAAAAAAGACACATCGCTGGAGGGAAATCATTACTTGTTTAGAAAAACTAATTAAAACTTCAATCTTCTTGCTTACTTTCAGCTGTAACTGTAACTCGCAGACACCAAACCCCATTAAAGTGACAGTGGCAGGAGCGCAGAATTATCTCAGCACCATTCTGCAGCTCTTTGTGGAGCAGCTCACTCTCAAGACTCCAGACTGGCTCGGCTACATGAGGTTCCTCATCATCCCCCTGGGTGCGTTTACATCAGACTCGTGTTAATCTCTCACCTGCCCAACCAAGGGTTTGTGCTCTGCGTTGATTTAGGCAGAGAAGATTTATTTCTGTTTGGGGCTAAATACCACAGAACGACAGGCTCACAGCTATGGCTCTCCATGTAGGGATGCCCATTGGAGGTTAAGCCACAGTAGGGAACCACCATCAGAGACAGAGGTGAAATTGGAGGGAGAATCAGGTCCAGCTATAACAGCATTCTAGCAATAAACTGGGAGAGGGTTGATGCTGATTTCTGTCAGGGAGACTTGTAAAGGGTGAAAATAGAATAAAATGAAATAATTTATAGTAAAGGGGATTTATATGCAATATCCAGTGGAAGCCGGAAGCCGGACACATGGGGGTCGGACATTTTGTCCGACTTAAGAGGTGTCCGAGTTTAATCGAAATACCATTCCCGCCCAGCAGAGGCACCCCACCAACACAGTATAATAAAATGCAATAATGTTGTTTCATTTTGAAGCAAAGTTAACTAACCAATTAAAGTTAAAATACTCTCACAGAATCGATTAAAATATATTGAGGTCTATATGGCTGCAAAATACAGTCCAGTACTTTCCCCCCCAACAGAGGAGCTATGACGCTTCCTCCCTCCCATTGGTGTTCCTGTTGGACGGGAAGGGGATCAATTGGCGGTGGATTAGAGGTGATTGACTGCCTCAGCCGCTTGTGAATAGAGAGGCACTCTACCCATTCACAAGTGGCTCAGCTGTCAATCAATTGCGATTTCCCTCCCTTGTTCCTCCCCTTTCCTCCGCGCCCCCTCACTGATTGACAGCACAACTCCAGCTGCTGGTGAATAGCTGGAGTCCGCTGTCAATCACAATTTGACTCCTCTCATCTACCTCCGGTAGCTCCTCGTGGCTAAATGCAGCCGTGGGACACACAGAAGGCCCGAATGACTACATTCAGCGGCAGCCAACCCGACATTTTGCCCGCAGTAACCGGATTTTCGTCCAAATTAGCAGGCATGTTTAAAACGGATACAAATACAAATGAATCGGGGCCGGGGGTTTTGTTCGATTTTCCTGACTTCCGTGGAGTAACAGTAGTTAGTCACAGAAGTGAAGCCGAGGCTAATATTGACTTGGACTTACTGAAACCTTTGTATTTGCTTTTCTTCAGGCCTTCACCCAGTAGCTAAATACCTCAGCTCCATCGACTACAGGTACAGCAACTTCTTTGAGGATGCCACATGGCGAGATTTTTTCACCAAACCGGATGCCCCGACTATAGGTAAAGAATGAATCTGCCTCCCTGTGTAAATCGGGCTATATCGGGTCACTCAGTCACTGTGAACGTACTGTCGACCGCTTGTCTTGCTGATCTAATGGTCAGTTTATTGAATTATAATGGTTGTTTCCTCTAAAGTTGAGCAATCAAAACAACTTATTTGGTTTAAAAGAAAGTATTGTGTGACGGAATGAGAATCTCCTGTACATGATGACTGTAACGGAATCTGAACTCACAAGTTAATAAGTGAATTTGAGGCAGTCTACTTGGGCATAGACTCACAGTACATGACTGTCCTAATCCAACTTCAAATTGGGATTCTCATTCTCTTTATCAAACCATTTTACAGTCTAGAGTTTGACATACCAGAGCAGTACCACATTGCTAAGGAAGTTGACTCTTTGGTTGAGACAATAAACTGAGGTCCCATTCTGTCCGTTTAAGTGGGTGTTAAAGATCCCATGCTAGAATTTGAAAAGAAAAGGGAATTTCTCCCGTGTTCTGGCCAATAATCCTCCTTAATAATTGGTCATTCACTATGCGGTTGTTTGTGGGATCTTGTTGGTATAAAATGGCTGCTGTATGTACCTTAGTGGTTAGAGCACTCGCTTTGTTCGTGAGTGGACCTAGGTTCGATTCCCGAGCAGGGCGAAACGTTGGGCATGTTTCCTTACTCCACTCGCCTCTGTTTACCGAGCAGCAAGTAGGAACCCAGTTGTTAATCGATTGGCAGGCCGCTTTTCCGGGGGTACTAATCCCTTTTAAAAAAAAACACATTTGGTCACTCAATCCACGACTGTTCGTGGGGACACTGTTGTGCGAAATTGGCTGCCGTGTTTCGTCCACAAAACATACAGTCAATTCACTTTACGGATTTATTCTGTGAAGCGCTTTGAGACGTTTCAATGACCCGATAAGGCGGCATATCAAATGCAAGGATTATTATATTATATATAAGGGTTATGATATGTTTCACATGGCAAAGTAAAAATGCAAGTTCTTCTACACTGGACCATGGAAATGTAAAGAACTGTGAATGCCATATCATACATCTTCCCTTCTTCAATCACTTTTGACAAAATCCACTCCCACTCCCTATTTGTACTTGTTTTTTTGCTGCATACTTTATGCTGCTGTCTCTCAGCTAGATTGCAGTGAGTCTAATGTGTTGACTGTGATTCCAGTGCAGGAAATCCCGGATGTTGTTGCTCGGGTCACCCAGTACATCTCCAATGCTAACATTGCCCACCAGCTGCCTATAGCGGAAGCTATGTTAACTTACAAGCAAAAAAGGTATGGTAACTCTTTTCATATTCAAATATGCTTGGTGTTTTTTTTCAAATGTAGACATTTTAGGGTTTGTGAAAGTTATTTCCTTGGGACGTCCTCCCATCATGAAAGGCGCAATATAAATGCAATTTGTTGCTCCCCATTTATATCTTCCCCTGCTCTGCTATGTCTTCACTTAGAACTCTGCAGAGAGATTCTTATCTGCTTTAGCACCTCTAGCAGGATAATTCCTGCATAGCAAACAATTGCTCCAGGGGATCCCGTGTAGATTATACAGAGCTGTAAGATTGTATCTCAGACTGAGATCTTACATAGATTTGGATAGACTGTACAACATGGAAACAAACCATTCGGCCTAACTAGTCCGTGGCAATGTTTATACTCTGCATGAATATAAATTAATTCCTTACTTTCTCTCATATTTGCTTCTCCTTCATGTGAAGGTCTAGCTTCCTCTTAAATGGACCTATACTATCTGATACAATCACCACTTTGTCAGCGGGTCCCATAATCTCATTACCCTCTGCATGAAGAAGTTTCTTCTAAATTCTCTAGATCACCTAGTTGATATCTTATACATCTGATTGGAGGCAACATCACACGTACTAGATGCACCAGAGAGTCCCTGGAAAAGAAACTCAGGGTCCTTTTGCTGGTTGAACACTTTGCAAATTTTGTGTATTAGTTGCATAATTTCCTTAAATCATAGCCAGCAGGATCCAATCCAGAGCAAGTTGAGTCTTTCTCCGCTGTTCTTGTTAGTGTGGAGACTGCCTAGTTGGCAGAGATCTGCTAACCCTCTCAGATAGGAATGGAGCTCCAGGAGACTGGCTCTCAGAGATATGAGCTTGTATGGACTGAACTTCCATTCAGTATTAGACATAGTGTCTTTGGCCATGTCGGCTGCAAATGGGATTTCCTTATTATAATCGCACATTGAGAAAGGTGCTAAGCACAGCACTGTCCAGAATTTCAGCACAGAGACGGGATATCATCACCGAGTGTCTGTATGTCCTATTCTTATAGCATCTGGCTTTGCCAGCTGGGTTTTGACTGAATTTGTTTGTTCTTTGCTGTGGGGGATTTCACCCTTACTGTGTTTGGCTGTTGAGAGCTGTCAGAATTGGGGTGGTCTGTGATTTGCAGTCTTTGGCTTTTATGTGTGTGCATTCGTGCTAAATATTGGATGGACGCTAACTGCACCATAACACTTAACAAAACACAGAATACTGCAGATGCTGGAAATATGAAACAAAAACAGAAGTCGCAGAACTCAGCAGGTCAGGCAACATCTATAGAGAAAGGAAAGTGAGTCAATGTTTCGGGTCCACGACCCTTCTTCAGTTCTGACGAAGGGTCGTGGACCCGAAACGTTGATTCACTTTCCTTTCTCCATAGATGCTGCCTGACCCGCTGAGTGTTCCCAGCCACTTCTGTTTTTATAACACTTAACACCTTTTCAAAATTCAAACCAGTTGCAAAGAATTATCAACCTCAATAGCCTTTTAGGAATGGGAGCAGGGAACATGATCGGTGAGGTGAGAGGTTCTAATGAAAACTTGAAGACCGTGTAATACATATGCATTTGACAGACGATCACAAGGCAATTGTCTTTACTTAACAAACTATGCATTTAACTTTCTAAATACAGTTATTAGTATTGCTTCCCTTCACCACACCCCCTCCCCCCCCCCCAACAGTGTGCATCTGTGTCACACAGAAGATCCCTGGTATAATCCTAGATTTCTATGGTTTCCTTGTTGGCGAATGTGAAGACACAGTGATGTAGTGGAGCCAGAGCTCCCGGCAGTGGGTGTGAAGAGAGAAAGGACAAACTGGGTACATTTAAAGTCCCATTTTTATGCAATGAAAGTGTTCTCTGGGTAACTCTTATTCCGTTTTAATAGACCCACATGGAGCTGCAGTAGCAAGCATTAATGTTCTCACGTGGTGTGCAAAATCCACCTGGTATAGCAATGTAAGGCGGCGTAACACTATGCACGGGCTGACTGGACTTGACTGTAAGGCCCCATTGACCATGGGGTAAATCTTTATGTTGACACAAGCCTCCGTACAACGTGTTCGCTGAAATAATTTATTCCTTTTGTTTGTTTCTTGTGGTTGCTTTCAATAAAGGAAAAAGAGCTTTCATTTTGATTTTAACATAAGGTACCGGAGTCTGCTTGGTTCTCCCTTCTTTTCAAAGACAAAGCTTTCTTTACATATAGCCTTTTTGTTTGGCTTGTTTAACAGTTATTTGTTGATTTGCCAGTTTGTGGTAATCTGCATTGGATGAATCTCAAACCGCTTCCTGCAATAAACTGCAGTTTCAAACTGTGGAGCAACATCTCACACAAAACCTAGATCCTCGTGAGGGGCTCAAAACCACCCACAGACTCCTGACCCAAAGGCTTTGTGCTACCCACTAACACAAGCTGATGAAAAGAGCTGAAATGCTAAAAGATTATTTTATTTAAGCATATTTTTTAAATGCTCCTGCCCCACTTTCATTTCTGTTAAACAAGCATGCAAAGAAAAAGCCTAGCTTATATAGACTAATGCCTTGCCTTTTTCCTGGCTTTTCGTCCCTTCTGTTGATTTGCTAACTGTTTGACATCTTATTGGCTGCCCTTGGAGAGCCAAGTGCTTGTGATTTGGACACGTTGTTAATCATGGAGTGAGCTGATGGTGCTTCAGGGGCAGTGCAGAAATAAGGCACAGTGTGCTGGAAAGAGTGTTATACAACTGATCAGGCTGAACCTGGTCTCTGAGTTTTACAGCTGTTCCTGCAATCGATTCCTTCCCTTGTCTAGATTTACTTGTATAAGAGCATAAAATTTTGCTGGGCGAAAGAAGACCATATATTGTACCCCGTCACATGTTCTGCGGTGCTTGGAGAAAATCGCGCACCCACATGAGTGGGTAACCTGCTGCCAGTGTATGCCATGTGCATTGATATCTGTGCTCCCATCAATGACAACATCTGTAAAATAGAGATTGACTATAACCCCATCTTTCAACACCTGGCATCCCAACCTCATACATTTGACAAGCACAGGTGGACAGCATAGACCAGGAACTATTCAATAGACAGCCATCAAATGGCTGCTGAGGAAACTGAGGCTCCAGATGACAGTTGCTGGAAGGCATCTCCAAGCCTTGACTCTTACCAGCTTCTACCTAATACCCTTCCGAATTAGGTAAACCCTGGGCATCCCTCTGAGGTGAGAGTGCGCACTCCATTCCACACACAGTGTAATTTGCATCAGAAGGTATTGTGCCTATGTGAGACTCTGTCTGGTAGCTAACTGTCCCCACCTACCCCTTTCCCTGAGAATCACCCGCCCTTTAACACTGGCTCCGAGAGCCACTTTCCCTTTAACACTGTCCGCGAGAGGCCTCTTTGACACACTGAGCCCTTTATTGACTTTGGGAGTTGCTGTCTCTGTGTTGCGGAGCAGTGTGGACGATCCCAGGATTATGATTATTTGTGATCATGTGTCCCTCCTGCTTTGTGCAAATGGTACTGGATCTACAACATCTTTACAACTGGATCTCCATCAATGCACATGGTAGGGCAAGCTGCTTATCAGCACCGCTATATAACTAGAATACAAGATCTGCACAAGTACTTTGGAAGGGGGACGGTGCCTGGAGCGCTCTGTGCCTGAGGTGACCCTGCAGTGTACACTCCTCCTGCTTGTGCAATCTGTACGTGGCATTTTCAGCTGATCTGAACAATGATTTCTCTGCCTATCAATGAGCGATTCAATCTGAAGATGTAGATGAGGCTGATCTGTTGGTGCATGCCAGTGCCTTCTCCGTCCGCTTGGCTATCCTCGGTGCGTGAGCTTGTGGCATTGGCTCTTATTGTTTGGTTTCCTTTTCTATAGCCCAGATGAAGACTCGTGCCAGAAGTTTATCCCTTTTATTGGAGTGAGTATGACTTGCATTGCTTTGCTATTTTTAAATCGTGTCTTATTTCAGTACGATTGGTGAAGAGGAACAGAGGACCTACAAGGAAAGTGTGTGACGGATGGGAGGAGTGGTTGAAATCTGTATGTACTTTAGTGATGGGATGGTGAAGGACCTATGTGTGCTTTGGATGAGGTAGAAAGAATGGGTGCTTTATGTGCATGTGTTGAGCAATAGACCTGAAACCACTGATTTCTTTTCCTGACACGTTTCCCGCTTAGAGGAAAATAAAGGCAGTGCGACTGTGTAACAGACAGGGGTAGGAGAAAGGTTGGTGAAACGGGTTCCTTTTGTTTTACAACACGCCATGTGCTGGATCATATCGGGTCTGTTTTACTGAATGACTATAAACGTGTTTGCAGGTTGTGAAAGTTGGGATTGTGGAACAGTCCTCGGCCACCTCGGGTAAGTAGTGTCTCTCTAAATACAGCCCACATCCTTGTCTGAGCATTCGAAGGATTTACATGACTCGATGTGCTTTTAAATGTTTTTTTGTCTAGTGTTTGATGTTTAGTTGAGGTTGAAGGATTCATTATTGACCAGTAAACTGATTATTAACTGCAGGCGACTCGGATGACGCAGCAACCTCAGGATCCAATATTCTGTCCTCCACCCCACCGTCAATGTCCCCGGCAATGAAGGAAGCCTCGCCAACCCACCCTCCTCACCCTCAGTCGGAAGCGGACTCTACTCAAGGTAAGTAGTCCTGTGCATTGTAAGTGGTACCTCTATGTGTGCTTTCATGTGTATGAACCGCTTTCTCTGTATTTGTTAGTTCATGCATCAGCCTGTGTGTGTGTGTATGTGTGCGCGCACATGTGTGTGTGTGTGCGCACCCTTCCTTCTTTGTGTGTTCGCGTGTGAGCTCCTCGCTATGTGTGTGTGTGCATGTGTGCGTACATGCGTGCATGTCAGCGCCTCACTTTGATTCATTCTTCAACAGTTGTGAATTGTTCCTGGGGTGAAACTTTCACGTCTGGATATTTCAGATATGCATTTCAGATCAAAGCACAATTTCTGCTTCTGTTATTTTGTCAAAAGATCTCTCTTGTCATGGGATTGTCATGTGGTTTTGTCTGCCTCTGGAAAACAAACAGTTCATTTAACTGGGCAAATAGATGAGCCCACAGTTGGCAACGTGATGAGAGACCAGCAGGATGGAGGGCCAGCATGATGGTTCCTTGCCAGCAGGATCGAGAAGCAGATCAGTCACTGGTGGTTGGAGCTCTTTCTACTTAGCTCCTGTTAACTGTGCAAGCCAAATCTCTAATGATCCTTGCTGCACAAGCAGCGGGAAGCTTGCAAGACAGTTGTAAGCTGTGCTTCAGTTGGTTAAACTCCAGCAGTAACTCTAGCACCAACTGGAATCCCCAAGTTTTGAATCTTGCCAAACTGAACCGAAAACCTTCAGGGACAGGTGAGCAGCGTAACTCACACCAGGAGACAGTCACATCCTTCCCAGGCAATGGAAACTTTTCAAGCCCAGGTGAAATTCTGGTCTGGATACTCTTATTCCTGGAGATGGGTGTCTGTGCATGTCAGGAGGGAAAAAGAAGTTGTTACACTTACTATAATAACTCAACCTTTTGATGCTTTGATGTGCTGTAGAGAGACCATGAACTTTGTGAGACTAAAGATGTCTAAACCTCAGACTGTCCTGTGTGAAGGATGATAATGGGATAAAATGTCTCGGCGTAAGGAATGTTCTAAAGAAAGACCTTAAATATGTGTGTATACGTGTGTGTGTATGTGTGGGTATAGTACTTTGCCATGTCGAAATGTCTGTGAACACGACCATCTGAGGCTCTCGTATAGGATGAGGGTCTATAATTATAAGAGGGATTGGAGAAGTTGAGTGTGTTTTCATTGGAGCAGAAAAGGTTGAGAGGGGACCTGATAAGATGCACAAAATATTGAGGGGTTTTGACAGGATAAATAGGGAGAGTCAGTGACTAGGGGTCATAGCTATGAACATAGTAAGAGTGAAATGTAAGCTTGACCATACATGGTTGCACACTCCACCTTGCTAAGCCAGTCCAAAACCTTGGGATCTTGTTTGACCCTCAACTATCCTTTCCACCCCACATCTGCTCCATGACCCGCTCTGCCTTCTCCCACCTCCGCAACGTGGCCCGGCTCCGCCACTGTCTCACACCCCAGACCATCGAAACCCTCATACATGCTTTCATTACATCGAGGCTCGGCTATGCAAACTCACTGCTTGTCGGCCTCCCCAACTCCTCCCTCCACAGGCTGCAAATCATCCAGAACTCTGCAGCCCGTATCCTCTCCCACACTAGGCTCCGCGACCCTATCAGCCCCCATCTTTGCCCAACTCCACTGGCTTCCCATCACCCAGAGAATGCAATTCAAGATCCTGGTCTTCACCTTCAAAGCCCTCCACAGTCTTGCTCCCCCCTCCCACTGCGACCTCCTAAATCTCTACCATCCTGTTCGCGCCCTCCGCTCAGCAGGCTCCAGTCTGCTTCACAACCCCCGCCTTGCTCGCCTCACTATTGGCAGGCTGGCCTTCTGCCACTCTGCCCCCACCCTCTGGAACTCCATCCCGCATCCGTCCGCCTCGCCCCCTCCCTTGCCTCCTTCAAGACACATCTCAAGACTCCTCTTTGACTGTACATTCGATCTCCCTGATTTCCCCCCCTGGCCTCCACCCTCTCCCACCCCGACCCCCAGCGTAACTCTGTCTATCCAGCGCCTTGGGACATCCTCCCAACGTGTAAGGCACTATACAAATGTAATTTTGTTGTTGTTAAGAGAATTTTTTTCACACAAAGAGTTGTTGGGATATGGAATGTCCTGCCAAATAAGGTGTAGAGGCAGAGTCCATTGTGGGTTTCAAGAGGGAAGTAGACCAGTAGAAAGATAAAGGTTCAATAGGATAGAGGGATAGAGCAGAGAGTGGGATTGAATGAACAGCTTGCTGTGAGAGCTAGTGCTGTGAGAGTCGATGGGCTGAATGGCCTCCTGCACTGTAAATTTCTATGATTCTAAAGCAGTCTGTGGTCAGTGTGCGTTTTCAGCACAATCCCCTTTGTGTCAGTTTGCAGAGCCCTGGCCACAGTGGGGAGCTCATGGGACTGCAGGTTGATTACTGGATCGCACAGCAACTTATCGACAAGAAGAAGGATCCAGAGAAAAAGGACACCACAGCCAAGAACACACTGAAGTGTACCTTCCGCTCACTGCAGGTCTGTCGCCTACCCGGCAGTGGGGAAGTCCCAGCCCTGCCAACCATGTCCATGACCGTGGTGACCAAAGAGAAGAACAAGAAAGGTAGGAGAGACAGAGGATGTGGAAAACAATGAGAGGGACAGGTGTGTGAGAGGATGTGGAGAACAATGAGGGGAATCTATGTGAGGAAATATGGGGAACAATGAGGGGAATGGATCTGTGAGAGTATGTGGACAACAGAGGGGAATGGATATGAGAGAGGATGTGGATGACGAGAATGTGGAGAGCAGAGAATTATTTGATGTTTTTTGTATGGGAGAAAATCATTATTTCTTGCAGTGATATTTCTGCCAAAGAAAACAAAGGACAAGGAGGTGGAATCGAAAAGCCAGGTGATTGAAGGCATCAACCGGCTGATCTGCACTGCCAAACAGCAACAAACCATGCTGAGAGGTACGGGGCGAGTGGGTGCGACAGAGGGAAGATGGTGGAAACCGGGGGTGGGGGGCGGGTGGGGAGGAGTTTTGAATATTCTGGAGATTTTGCTCGATTGTGTTTGGAGATCAGGTAATTTGGACTGAGAGTAGCTTTCCCCAGTGACTGGGTTCATGAACCACAAGTTCGTGCCCGAGATGTGGTTATGTGTAGTTCGCTCAGAATGGTGCAATGTGTTGAATTAATATCTTATCCTGACTGGAAGATTCTGACATTCTTTTCACAGTCTCACTTTTTCTTCAAAGTGCATGTGACTTAAGTGGCCCATGTCCACCTCCTGTTCCTTCTGACTATGTGAGCTAGTATTGTACAAGGTGTCCACAAAGACCTGTTACCTCCATTTTTTTTTCTACAGTGCACTGACCAACAACTGAAACATGCAAAAGAAGTACTCAATTGTATTCAGTACAAGTGTTTAACTGTAATTGGACATCCAGAGGATTGGTGTGAGTGAGTGTCATCATTTTTATGGCAGATAATGATCCAGTGTGACATCTTCTGTAAACTGGATGGAGTGACGAGGCCAAATGAAATTCTGACATTTTGCTTCAGCTCCTCCATAGTGTCACATCGCTGTTTTGTAACGGGTTGGCTTGGGGGGTTGGGGTGGATGGGGGGAGTTAAAGGAATTGTGGACACCTGGTACAACAATATTTATTTAGAGGCTCAGTAATAGCCTGTCAGGAGTACGGGCTATTAAGTGTAAAACAAAAATGTTAAAGGTCCATTGAACAGTCAAGCCTGTGATTCCCTATCTGAGAGGACCTAATCTCACCAGGAGGGTGTGGGGAAGAGACGAGCTGAGCTCTGCAGCAGAGCACACAACCACCTATAATATCCTTTCCCACCAGGATTTTGGCTGCAAAAGCATTCAGGACACGTCTAAATCTTTTAAGTCTCACTGATGAGCTAAATAGGTTGGTCAACCATCAACAGTGCCTTAGAATAGCAACATGGCTTTCCCAAATGGGGCTCTGTTTACTTTCCTCCTCCGCATTCCATCAACATTGTTGGATGGACCCACTGGGGTTGAATCAAGAGCTTTCTGGTTCCTAGAAACAGCAACCCAGGGGTTGTGTTACCCAGAGGGAAGGAAAATGGAGGGGACTGAGTAGCTCTGTGTGTCTTCAAGTGACTAGTTAGTGACTGGCACTAACTCACCACTGGGAGTTCGTGGGGGGGGTGGAGTGGGGGGTGGAGGTGTTAAAGAGGAATTGTAAGGCTGTACGCTGATTCTCTCTCCTTTTACAGTGATGATCGATGGAGTGGAATGGAACGATGTAAAGTTCTTCCAGCTGGCAGCTCAGTGGTCCTCTCATGTGAAGTACTTCCCAATAGGCATCTTTGGCCACTTAAAATCCGCCTACTAACCTCGCCAGCCAAGTGCCAAGAATGACTTGGAACTGGTCAGAGAACCAGCACCACACCAGTCAGTGCCAAGAGCCTGGCAGCCTCGGGCGCCTGCTTCTTATCCCGAGTCTCAGCGCTTTGCTTCAATTTAAACCACAAGGAGGGGGTGGGAGAGAACAAATCTCCAATGAGGGTGTTAACATCTGTTTACAACCACGCAGACAAGCCTATCCTTTGCTTACAGTAGTTCCGGCAAGAAGCGTGACTGCAGTTTAAAGGAATCTGTGCATATGAGACATGGTCATTCCTTTCCCTGCCTCCTCCCTCTCCCAAGTGCTCCGTTAACTTGTTGACGTATGATCCCTCTACAGAGGGGGTTTGCAACACAAGGTGTGGGAGTGCTTTACTTTGTGATGACTTGTTTTTAACAATGCTTACGGCGCTAGGTGCAGAGCTGTTATATTGCGCGGGGCCTTGGAATAATTTTGTGCTCATTCGAATGCTGGTCCAGGGCTTACCTGAGGAGTGTGACAATGGGGAAGCCTGTTCGGGTTTTCTTACGTTTGTAAGCGATAGAGTGGGTTGGTTTGTGCTGAGGTCACTAGCAGCTCCTGTTTTACTCTTGCCACTGCTGCTTAATAAGGATTGCCAATTCCAAGGTTCCAGTTTTGTAGAATAGCCGCTGTGGTGCCCAGATATTGTGTTGTGACTGTTGGGTTCAAAGCTGGGAACACAACACAGTTCACAAGCAGTGGGTTTGGTTCAACCTTCACAACCTCCAGCTTTTTACCTCTGCTTTGTACAAAAGCAAGGCTTAGCCACAACTCCCAGCTACAAGATACACTCAGGCCTTGTAACACAGCGACCCAGTAGTTAAGTATAACAAGGCTAGAGTTTAATGTGAGTGGAACCTAAAAATAGATGGCAATTTCTTTGCTTTCTTTGGTGCTGCTCTCAATATGAAGTATATATTAGAGTTTGTTGGCTTTGGCTCTCGTTGTGTTGATAGATTAACCCACGCTTGATATGAATTTCAATAGATCCCTGCAAGGCACACCGTGTCTAGGATAGCAAACTGACTGTTTTTGACACTAATAATTTATATTGTACAGTTTTATATAGGCTGGTGCAGTGATGATGGAAGAACTGGCATCACTCCTAATATAATGTCCTCGGTGTTTCTCCCCCCCACCGATTCACTTCTAAGGATTGCATCGACAAAAAGCTTTTTAAATAATATCACATTGGTCAGAGTATCTGGGTTCGAACTGAGTGTTAGTTCATTATAAGTGAGCAACCATGTTAGCGCCGCTTCTGTTATAACAGATGAATTTATAACCTCGCCTCACACAAGCTAACAATCGCTCAATTGTGTTTCTGCTTCTATACCTCAACCCCTCTCTCTCTTCACTGTGCCAAACCTTATTTGGGCAGAAACTAACTGGAGCCCAGCCCTTGAAGTTAACTCAAGCAGGTACATGCCAATATGTCAGTGGTGATAGTTATTGCACGTGGAAAGAGAAAGAATTAACATTAAACGTCTTGGGCTTTAGGTTACTGGACTGTTCTGGATTGTAAGAGAAGTGGTTTTGAACTGAGATAACCGTGATGCTGGAATGCTTGCTCATTGCCCCATTTATGTGTTGGACACTGCAGTCATAGGAAGGTATTGCTTCCTGTTGAATGGTTCCTGAACTGGACAAAGAGCTTATCTGACCACTCCCAAAGCTGATCTCTTTCCTGGATGAGCCTTTGAGAGGGCCTGATTTCTGATCTGGGTTGTATGGGAATCTTCCCCAAAGTCCAAGTGGATAAACGGCTTTTGCTGGCCTTCCTAGCCAGTGCTCGACAGGTTCCACAAACTCAGTCTGGGTGCATACACGTACATGTAATGATTTGCAACTCCTTTGATTCTGTTCTCAGTACTGCATGGGAATCCTATTCAGTTTCACAGCTCGCTCTCCTGCCTTTACACTCCACGTCTGACTGGGAATACCAATCAGGAGGGCAGGAGGCTTGCAGCAGGAAGCCAAGAGGTCCTGAGAGGATTGAAAGGTTTTGAAGCCTTGAATAAAGCAAGTACCTGCTGCAGCCACCATACTCCTTTGTGGTGAGAAAGTGTAGAAGGTCCCATGCACACACTGACACACACTCATAGTTTTAGAACACAGATTTATTCAACAATGGAACCAACAGCAGGTCTCGTTATACACCAGGATACAGATCTGCAGGAGTGGGAACAGACCTAATCTTCATTAATAAAGAGAGTGACGGATTTCTGATTTCCATACTGCTGCACTGTCCTATTGATTAGTTCCACTGTTTTTCTTACTTCTCGATATTATATAATACTGTATTGTGACAGAGCGTAAAATTATTCATAATGCAGCGACTGAATTAACCCACTGTGTACCAGCTTGGGATCTGTGGAGCAGTCTGTCTGCTCTCAGTGGTGCCACATTAATCTGTGCTGTTGGTCCATATTGTTGGATATTCATATACTGCTTCTGATCCTGAGGTAGTGATGCGCATTTCAAAGGGAGGAAGTGCTGCCCTCATTCAACCTACTCTCTATTTAACACAAGTTGCTCATGTGTGCACAACATGAAAACACCGATGTCTTGAAGGTAGTGAATCACAAGGTGGGATTGGATTGTTCACGTTGCTGAATGACTGAGTGTTGTCCTTTGTTACTCCTGTCTCTTTATTTATTTATCTTGTAATAAGGCTGTCCCGAATCTTTATATTAAATGTGGAGACAAACTGCTTTTACTTCCCATCATATTTTTTTTATTTTTTTGGTCAGCCGGGTGTCTTGACACATACAGAAACCCATCACCATGCTTGGAAGAGTATCCAAACCAAGCTGAGAATTCCATGCATCCCAACACGTGGAAATTTCAGAGATAGATGGAATGGAATACCTACTCTCTCCCTGGAGGGATGCATCCTGCTTACCTAATTCCAGAACATATTAGGCTCAGGTTGGCAGGAGCCAAGGCTTGGGGACCCTAGAGTGTGCGTTGATTTAACTGCTCAAGTCTGACCAGCAAAAAACGCATAGCTTGCCATTAATATTAATAATAACCTAGTGCCCTGGACAGCAATTGACCTAGTGCCGTTCAGGCTGAGATATCAACAGCACAGCCTGGGGATGGGCCTTGTGTCTCCTTGGTCTGTGTGGTTGTTTCACATTGTGAGACCCTTTAACAATGGAGTGATTTTGATATGCATTTAATTTGTTCATTTCCACAACACTTACCAGGGCGAGGGGAGAGGAGACTAAGCGTTGCTGATATTTACAGCAAACTATAAAATAGTAAATAAATAACCTTCTTCAAGTTGACATTTATAACTCACCCGGCAAATAGTAAAGTTGCCAATCTCTGACCCCCAGTGGACGCGGCATTTAAGCAGCAGTTTGCAGCCGGAATTTGGCCCATTGTGAAGCTGTGTTGTTGTTGGCTCAGGACTAGAAGCAGTATACAAGCACTATTGTGTAAAATGCGTGTAAATGAAAGGATTTTAGATACAGACGCACCTTGATGTGACAATTTGCACTGTTTTCCTGTCCCAATTTTTTTTTTAAAAACTATAATGAATTTCTCTCTAGTAACTACATGATAGGATTACAGTTTTTGTGTTTCACAAAGTCCATTTTAGCACAAGTTTTTTTTTGTACTGATGAAATAACTATGATGGAACATAATTGAAATGTAATACATTGGATTACTACAATTAAAACATGAAATAACCTCCACTCCTGGTTTGTCATTATTCCATGTCAAGAGGTGCCATCATTTGGATGAGACTTTAAACAGGTCTGACTGAACTGAACCAGGCTGACAGTACAAATTTCTGCACACATAAGCACCCTTTATACCACAGTATCAAAGAATTAACACTTGACTGTTACAATAAAAAATATATGTATATTGAAAGTTATTGATGGTTTCTTTGTATTTTCTGAATATTCTATGTGTTGTATGAGTTGTTGTCCACCTTGGGCAAGATCAAAACAGTGACCTTCTTCAGGGTGCCTTGAGTTTCAGGTTGTCTTCATGAATTTGTTCACTACTGACCCAGCTGCCCCCTTATCTCAGTGAGCACTGTCCGCTTCATGTTCCCCCGCACCCTAACTGACCCATCATCAGTGGGCGGCCTTTTAGGTATTCTGCCCTGCTCTCTGGAACTCCAACTCAGTCTCTTCCTCCCATCGTTTGAGGCATCTCTTCAACTGTGCTTTTGGTCAACTTTCCCCTTCTGACCCCTATAGCTTCTACCCTTAGCTCGAGTGCCCTTCTGGCTATGTTAAGTGTTTTAGACTTCCTCCTGGTGGAAGAGGTTCTTGGTAAATGTATATTGGTTGTCAAGCCACTTGAGCACTTAAAGAATGTGTGTAGCGTTTCGCTATTCTCTCCCACCTTTCCCCCCCCAATGATATAAGTCACTTTAATAAGAAATTGGATGAGAGTTAAATGTACTACTCTGTTGGCTGCAATCCAAATCTTTGGAATTGGCTTTCAATCCATCAAAGATTAAATACTATCAGTGCCTATTCTGGAGCAGATGGTGACGTGCCATAGAAGCGAAGGTCAGTATATAAACAAGACACACAAAGATTAAGTTACAGGTGGAATTAAGTTTGGCTCAACTGACAGAACTCTTACCTCAGAACATTAAGTTCAAGTTCTGGATTAGACTTGAGTGTGTAGTCTACTCTGACAGCACAGAGCAGTATTGGGTGCTGTCCTTAGTTGCTAGAGGGGCTGTTTTAAAGATTTGTTGAATCAAGATCCGTTCAGACGGATAATAATAATCCTTGCATTATCCATTTTTGCCATCAATGTCCCACAAACAACATATATTGCCCAACCTCAATAAGCAAATGCGAATCATCGCTGGTAATGAATCTCCAGTCTGCTCTCAGCGCTGTTTGTGAGCTCGCAGAGCGAGATGAGTGAGTGACCCAAGTTGTGAAGTTTCGAAAGCGTGCTTTCTTGTACAATAAAGTAAGCGCTTTTTCAACTTCTAGCTTTATTGCTGCTGCTGTTTTTCGCCCGAGTCAGTGTGTGAACCCAGATGTTTAGAGCGCAAATGGCTGAGTGCGAGAGAATCACATTGTTTTAATGCTGCAGTAATTCTGAGCATTAATTCAGCACAATCTCAATCAGCACTTTGCAGCACGTAATCCGCTAGCACGTGACCTTATGAAAGGCAATTTCCAACACATTTGACATCGTAAACCATTTACATTGATCATAAATCACCGAGTGCTTCCATAAACTCTTCCATCCAGTGGGCACAACACCTGCCCAGCTGTCATAGTTTACAACCTGCAGCACAACATATATTGCCCGACCTCAATAACCAAATGCAAATCATCGCTGGCTATGAATCACCAGCCCGCTCCCAGCGCTGTTTGTGAGCTCGCAGAGTGGAATGAGTTTGATGCAGCCATAGCCTAGTTTCCAATGCTCATAAAGTACCCGTAATTCAATATTAATCTGATCTCCATCACACTTGACACAAACTCACTCACAAGAGACGGCGGGAGAAATGGAACAACTCACTGAGCCAGTGGGAGGAAGGGGGACGGGGGGAGGAGTTAAAGAGTGAGAGGAGGCAGAGAAAGGGGGGAAGAGAGAGAAGATGGGGAATACAGAGAGAGGGGGGGGGGAGTAGAGGGGGAATAGAGAGGGGGGGAATAGAGAGAGGGGGGAATAGAGAGAGGGGGGAATAGAGAGAGAGAGGGGGAGTAGTGGGGGGGAATAGAGAGGGGGGGAATAGAGAGAGAGGGAGGAATAGAGAGGGGGGAATAGAGAGAGGGGGGAGTAGAGGGGGGATAGAAAGCGGAAGGAACTAGAGATGAAGGGAGAGCGACAGTATGTGCGGTTGTCAGGAGCTGCTCTGCTATAGCGTGACCCGGGAGGACCGAGCGTGACCCGGGAGGACCGAGCGTGCGGGACCATCTTGCCGCGCTGCCGCGCTGCCGCGCACGTACACACGCTGTGGTGTCGGCGGATGGGAGAGAGGTTCGAGCCGCTCGAGCCGCTGAGGTACACTGGTCCCCACGTCAGTAACCGCCCGGCGGCCGCCGCTCTTACGGCGAATGTTATTAATACAACTCAGTGCTGTCTGTAGGCGGCGAACACTCCGACCTCCCGAGGCAGAGGGTCTGGGGGTGTGGGGGGGGTTCGTGTCCCACGTGGGGACTCGGGAATCACGTGGTCTGAGCTGACGATCCACTGCAGTGCTGAGGGAGGGGGAGAGATGGGGGAGAGGGAGATGGAGGGGGAGAGATGGGGAGAGGAGGGGGAGAGGAGGTGAGGAGGAGGGAGAGAGGACGAGGGGGGGGGAGATGGGGTGAGGAGGAGGGGGAGAGGAGGTGAGGAGGAGGGGGAGATGGGGGGAGGAGGTGAGGAGGAGGGGGAGATGGGGGGAGGGTGAGATGGGGTGAGGAGGAGAGGAGGTGAGGAGGAGGTGAGGAGGAGGGGGAGATGGGGGGAGGGTGAGATGGGGTGAGGAGGAGAGGAGGTGAGGAGGAGGGGGAGGGTGAGATGGGGTGAGGAGGTGAGGAGGAGGGGGAGATGGGGGGAGGGGTAGATGGGGTGAGGAGGAGAGGAGGTGAGGAGGAGGGGGAGAGTGTTGCATTATCAGAGGTGCCGGCCTTCGGATGTTAAAAACGTTAAAACTGTTCAGATGGACTTAAAACCAGACAGTCCCGCGAGACAGTCCCGGGAATGTTATGTTGGCCGGTGTGCAACTGGCACCTCCCCAGGGAGACGCGCCCCATCCTCTGTAGACGAACGCAGCAGCCAATTGCGCACAGCTGTGCCCCACAAACAGTCGTAGATTGAAAATGACCAATTTATTATTATGTTTTGGAGGGATTATTATTAGGCTCTGTGTGGAGTAAGGAAACTTGCCCAAGGTTTCGCCCTGACCTGCCTGGAATTGAACTCAGGTCTCTCGCTTGCAAAGCGAGTGCTCTAACCACTGAGCGACAGGACTCCACAGCAACAACAGCAATATTACATTTGTATAGCACCTTTCACGTGGAGAGGATGTCCCAAGGCGCTGGAAAGACAGAGTTTCGGACCTGAGCTGGGGGTCAGGATTGGGGAGGGTGGAGGGCGGGGAAGCAGGGAGATCAAAAAACGCACGGTCAAAGAGGAGCTGTCCCTGAGCTGTCCTTTCTCCCTCACATCCGCGCCACAACTGGCACCGCCTTCCATCACCTCCGGAATGTCGCCAGACTACGGCACTACCTCACCCCTCACGCGGCTGAAACTCTGGTCCACGCCTTTATCACCTCAAGGCTGGACTATGGGAACTCTCTCCTCGCCGGCCTTCCCGCCACCTCCCTCCACAAGCTGCAGGTCATCCAGAACTCTGCAGCTCGTGTACTGTCCCGCAGTTTCAAGATCCTCATCCTCACCTACAAGGCCATTAACGGCCTTGCTCCCTCCTACCTCTCCGACCTACTATCCCCCTACTTACCTGCCCGTACCCTCCGTTCCTCAGGCTCCGGTCTGCTCCACATCCCCCGCCCCAACCGCCCTACTTTCGGTGGCCGGGCCTTCAGCCTCTCAGCCCGAGGCTCTGGAACTCTATCCCCAGTGCCTTCGCCGCCTCCTCCCTTTCCTCCTTCAAGGCCGGTCTCAAGACCTTTCTCTATGACCGTGCCTTCAGCTCCCCTCTCAACTCTCTACCCCCTCCTTGGTCCCTCCCTTCCTCCCCTCACCCTGACCATTTCCCCCTTGCTCGGGTCCTGACCTAACTGTGCAGCGCTTTGGGACGTCCTCTCGACGTGAAAGGCGCTCAATAAATGGAATCTTGTTGTTGTTGTTGTTGAGGGTCTTGAGATGGGTCTTGAAGGAGACAAGGGAGGGAGCGAGGTAGAGGAACTGTGGGATGGAGTTCCAGATGGTGAGGGCAGAGTGGCAGGAGGCCCATCTGCCAATAGTGGGGCGAGGGAGGTGGGGGACGTGAAGCAGGCGGAGGGAGTGGGCAGGATGGTAAGTCGTTAGGAGGTCGCAGATATGGGGGGGAGCAAGACCATGGAGGGCTTTGAAGGTGAGGACCAGGATCTTGAACTGTAGCCTCTGTGTGATGGGAAGCCAGTGGAGTCGGGCGAGGATGGGGTTGAAAGGGTCATGGAGGCTGGTGCGGGAGAGGACACGACTGTAGAGTTCTGGATGATCTGCAGCCTATGGAGGGAGGAGTTGGAGAGGCCGACAAGCAGGGAGTTTGCATAGTCAAGCCTTGGTGTAATGAAAGCTTGTTTAAGGATTTCGGCTGCCTATGTAGTGACTGTGTGGCTTGCAGGTATTCATACACTGTATTTTATATATTTTATTTCCAGTGAAAAGGAGAGTGAGTGAGAGATAAGGTAATACACTTTCAACACCATTATAGTGAGTTTCAGCACAGCACAGGTTCAGATGTACACCAATCACAGAAAGTTAGTGTGCAGGTACAGCAAGCAATTAGAAAGGCTAATGGCATGTTAGCGTTTATTGCAAAGCGGTCAGAGTACAAGAGTAGGGAAATCTTGCTGCAATTGTATATGGCCTTAGTGAGACCGCACTTGAAATATTGTGTGCAGTTTTGGTCTCAATATCGAAGAAAGGATATACTAGTCTTAGAGGGGGTGCAACTTAGGTTCACCAGGTTGGTCCCTGGGATGAGGAGGTTGACTTGTGAGGAGAGGTTGAGTAGACTAGACCTATATTCTCTAGAATATAGACGAATTAGAGGTGATCTTATAAAAATCTATAAAATTCTTAAGGGTATTGACAGAGTAGATAGTGTGAGACTATTTCCCCTGGTTGGAGAATCTAAAACTAGGGGTCATAGTCTCAAGCTTAAAGGTCAGCCCTGTAGAACTGAGTTGAGAAAACATTTCTTCACTCGGGGGTAGTGAATTTCTGGAATTCTCTACCCCAGAAGGCTCATTCATATTCAAGACTGAGATCGATAGATTTTTAAAAACTAAAGGGATTAAGGGATATGGGGATAGGGCGGGTAAATGGAGTTAGGTTAGATGATCAGCCATGATCTTATTAAATGGCGGGGCAGGCTCGAGGGTCGATTGGCCTACTCCTATTTCTTATGTTATGTAGAATGGACACGCAGTGGATACTGGTGTAGGGTGCTTCTGGCAATGACTGATCGGCTTCCACCACATGCGGGGCTCAGTGATATCCCTGACAACAGTGGCAATGTTGATGAGCGGCCGCACTATAATGAGCTTTGTTAGAACAATGATTAATACAACGCAGGGTCTCACTATGAATTCCCAGCAGTCACGCTATAACGGTCAGTCTGTCCATTAAGTGACTTTGGTGGTGACTCCCATGACCTGGAAATCAGCCTTTGTTTTGGGGCGGGGACTGAGCAAGCCGGTCGTGTGCTTGTGAAGTTAGACCGATTTGTTACAAAGGAGGGATGGGATTTTATGGATCCCAATCACTGAGTTATAACAAGGGCTTCTGATTATCGGGCTTTATTAATTTGATTTCTTCGGGTTTATTTTGGGCTATTTTGGGGGTTTGGGTTGAGGGGTATTCGTTGCTGTACTGCAAAGAGAGAGACGGCCTCACGCATGGGCGGCATCTCCCTCCTTGCATGCCGAGGAGAGGGAGAGGTACAGAGCAACATACACACCAGGATCCTGCCAAGAGCGAGGGCGAGAAAATCTCCACTCGGGGTTAAAAGAGCCTTTTATTGGATAAACACTGAATTTATTTTTTTCGTATTGGTGCTGTTTTAATAATAATCCTTGCATTCGAGACATCTCAAAGCACTTCACAGGATATACTGTAATGTGAATTGACTGTGTATTTTGTGCAAAAATTATTTTTGTTGGCTTAAACCAAAAATTAGAACCCCTGGTTATAACGAGGCTTCACTGTGTGTGTGTATATATTATATATAATAAATATCTCTCTGTATATAGACAGATGGAGAAAGAAGAAACTGAGGTTAAAAATAGTCAAGGATACAAATACTGTATATAAATAAAAAAGAGGCATAGATTCAGATATATTGTGTATAATAAAAAGACAGACTCCAATATATTATACTGTGCACAATAAAAAGACACAGTCACAGATATGTATTGTAAAAGGAAACCCATACACAGATATATGATGTGTAATAAAAAGAAACAGATATATTAAATTTCATAAAAAGAGAGAGTGAAAAGAGATGAGAGGTGGAAAACACAGAGATATATAAATGGAGAGAGAGAGAAAGAGAGAGATGATATGTATACACATGGAGAAACCCTGTTATAATATGGTTCTTCATTCTAGAAGTGTTCACCCTGTGTTATAAAGGAGGGTGTAAAGTAGCCTTCGGTCAGTGTGTCCCGGCTTTTGACGTCACAGGCTTTCAGGAAATGACCAGCAGCTGCTCGATGTTCTGCTCGATCAGCGTGTGAGCTGAGGGGGGTCTCTCTCTCTGCCTTCTCTTTTTGAATAGTGCCCCGCGACCTTTAACGTCCATCTGAACAGGGAAGGACCTCAATTTAATGTCTCATCCGAAGGACGGCACCTCTGACATAGCAACACTCCTCCCAGTGCTGCATTGGAGCTTAGACTATGTGATTCCAAGTCCCGACTTGGATCTTGAACCCACAACCTTCTGGCTCAGAGGTGGGAGTGCTACCACTGTGCCAGGCTAACGTACATACTGATGTGTTGAGTGATATATCAAATGTAAGAAATATTATATAACAGTAAAAAGTCAGTAAAGATGGTATATAGTGAAAGGAGGAACTGGTAATGAGAGAGCAAAATAGCAATCTTTGAATTTGATACAGCACCTTTCATGTCTGCACTGGAGTTCGAGTCTGGGCTATGAATTCAGAAGTCTCAACATGAAGCTTGAACCCATAAACTTCTGACTCGCAGGCGAGAGCATTACCAACTGAGCCAGGCTGACTGGAGTTTATCCATATCAAGAAATTGATCAAATAGTGAATTGATTTTTTTCCCAATCAAGCTAGACCTGTGTGAAAGAAGGTTTCCTCCGGGGTTTATTTCTGTGGCCTAAAGGACAATCAATGGTGGTTCTGGCTCCCTCTGTGGGCGGGATTGTCCTGGGATCAGGGTCTAGCTGCGGGTATGCAGTAGATGGGTTGAGGCCTAATTTGCTATGGCTTGTTGGTTTTTAAGTTCCTTGTTAAGTAAAGTGAATATGAGGCAGTAATTTAAAAGCGATGTACCATGACTAGTAAATCAACAAGCCCTTCGTCACTTAATTCTAGTGCCTCTGTCACGTCAAATTCATCCATCTGATGCAGAATTACTTGTGAAGAGAAACGCTTGCTCATCCAGCAGATCAGTAGATGACAAGGTCACACTCATAGCTAACAGTTCAGCAATTCTGAGGTGCTGTGTTGCAATTTGTGGCTGCTGACAAGCTTCCCTTCAGCACTGTTAATGAACCGTGTCTGGGTGACCTCCATCTCCTCAAATAAAATTGGCCATTCACTTCACGGCTGTTTATGGGACTTCACTGTATACAAATTGGCTATCACATTTGTCGACAAAATACACGGTCACTCCACTTTACAGATTATCCCATGAAGCGCTTTGATATTTCTCAATGATGTGATAAGGCGCTATATCAAATGCAAGGATTATTACACAAGCTGTGAAAGCTGCTACCCCGTGTGAAGATGCCTATATAAATGCAAGTTCTTGTTGTTTACGCCAGTGTTCTGAAATACTAACTGTGATGTTTCTTTTTAGCTCAATGACTGGACCTGATGGCTGTTTGAGCCAGTAGCTGGTGTGATCTAGAGATGCTCCAGTCTTTGTAGCGATGCTGTATTGAAGAGGAAGCCACTCCTTTGACTTCACCAGTGGTTAATGAGGAATGTACAGAGATACCTGCAGCTCCAGCCAGGCCACTGAACCATGTCCAGACCGCAGGCCCTGGCGGTGAGTGCAGCCACACTGCTGGGCACCGCGGTGGGCTGCCTGTACCTATGGAAGACCTTCACAAACACCAAGCAGAACAGTGGAGCCGAGCCAAAGGATGTCGGCGGGAGCTCAGAGAGAGCCCCGCTCACCGAAGGCAAGCAAGAGCCCGAGCTGGGCCACAGCTCCCGACCACTGGAGGAGAGGCTGCTGGCAGCGAGGGTCTTTGTGGTCCAGTCAGAGGAGGAGTGGGAGGCAGCGTGGCACTTGGTGAAGACTGAGTTAGAGAATTACCCGGTCCTTGGGCTGGACTGTGAGTGGGTAAGTTTTCCTGGCTTCAACCATTGTGTTCTCTGTTATGTGGATTCTTGTAGTACAGTGGCTAGTGCGCGCCTTGCAAGCGAGGGGACCCGGGTTCGATTCCTGGGCGAGGCGAAACCTCAGGCAAGTTTCCTTACTCCACACTCCTCTGACTGCCTAGCAGTAAGTAGGAACCCGGTTGTTAGTCGATTGGCGGATCATTTTCCGGGGGTAATCCAAAAAAAAATGGTCACTCGATCCATGATTGTTTGGGATGCTGCTGTGCGCAATTGGCTGCCATGTTTCGCCCACAAAATATACAATCAATTCACTTCACAGTATATTTTGTGAAACGCTTTGAGACGGCTCAGCAACATGACAAGGCGCTATATCAAAATGCAAATATTATTATTATTATACTCTGGTGTCAGTGCACAACACACCCTGACTGCTGGATTGCAGGAGTGGGAGCTATGACTGACGTGATGTTCCCTCTCATAACCTAGCCTACCTGTCACTGAAGCTGATTATATACAGCCCTGCTGCCATCTCAGCTGAGATCAGCTAGCTGAGTGTAGGCACATCTAACAGCTCAGCTTCTCGCTGGATAAACGTATGGCCCATCACATTGTGGGGAGTCAGAGCTTGACGTTCTCTCTCTCTCTCTCTCCTGTTCCTAGATTTCAGTCAGAGGAAAGCGGAACCCTGTGTCCTTGCTTCAGATGGCCTCCTGCAGTGGCCTGTGTGTCCTTGTCCGCCTGCCCCAGGTAACCCGGTGCAGCTGCCCCCTGCCAAAGGCTTTGCTTGAGGTGCTGGGAGACAGCAGGGTTCTGAAGGTCGGCGTGGGGATCCACGAGGACGGCTGTAAATTGCTTCGAGATTACTGCGCCACAGTCAGAGGCTGTGTGGACCTGAGATACTTAGCCATGCGGCAGAGGTTAGTGATGACACTCGTTCATGGGCCGGGTGGGGGCTGAATGTTTATCACTTTATGATGATGATAATATTTTTTTGGGTGTGGGGGGGTGGGGGCAATAATCCCTCCAAATAAAATTGGTCACTCAATACATGACTGTTTGTGGGACACTGCTGTGCGCAATTTACTGTCACGTTTTGCCCACAAAATACAGTCATTCCACTTTATGCCCAAAAATATACAGTCAATTCACGTTATAGTATATTCTATGAAGTGCTTTGAGACATCTAGAAGACGTGAAAAGCGCTATATCAAATGCAAGGATTATTATTATTCTATTTTGTATTTGCAGTATATTCTGTGAAGCACTTTGAGAGGTCTCAACGACGTGATAAGGCGCTATACATACATGCCTTCATTACATCCAGGTGGGATTATGCCAATGCCCTGCTTGTCAGCCTTCCCAACTCTTCCCTCCACAAGATGCAGATCATCCAGAACTCTGAAGCTTGAATCCTCTCCCACACCAGGCTCCGTGATCCCATCACATCCACCCTCGCCCGGCACCACTGGCTCCCCATTCCTCAGAGGATCCATTTTAAAATCCTCGTCCTCACCTTCAAAGCTCTCATTGGCCTTGCCCCCTCCTACCTCGCTGATCTTCTAACCCCTTACCGCCTGTCTGCTCTCTTCACTCAGTAGTCTCCGGCCTGCTCCACGTCCCCCGCCCGGCCTGCCCCACCATCGGCAGTCGGGCCTTCAGCCTCTCTGCCCCCACCCTTTGGAATTCCATCTCACAATCCCTTCGCCTTGCTCCCTCCCTTGCCTGCTTCAAGGCACACCTCAAGACCCTCCTCTTCGACCATGCCCTCAGCCACCCACCTCCTACCCTCTTTGCCCTCCACCCTCCCTGATCCCAACCCCTCTCCCCCCCCACTTGGGTCCTAATCCCTGACTGTTCAGCGCCTTGGGACGTCCTCCCGATGTGAAGGGCGCTTTATAAATGTAATTTTGTATTGTATATCAAATGCAAGGATTATTATTATGATGATGGTATCAATGTATCTGTTTCTTTACTCGGAATCTCTGGAATTCCCTGCCTCAATCCCTCTGTTTTGCCCCCTCTTCACACCTCCGCTTTGACCGTGCCTTTGGTCACTGCTCCTCTCTTTCTGGCTCGGAGTCAAACCACACCTGTTAAGTGCTCCCAGGCACCACCTGTGTGAAGGGCGCATTATAAATGTTGTTTGCCTCTTGTAAGACACTGAGTGTGGCCCGATTTATTCAACCAAATGTCAGACTAAAGGGCCGTTAGAAGGTGAGTGACACCATCTGGGGTGTTAATTCTGCAGTTGCTTTCTTTTTCGGTGATACTGAGCTGCCGCTTAGTAACTATCCAAACTGTGGAGGAGCCATGTATATACCTGCTGGGAAAAGTGAGTGACTGTGTTTACTGGGTGAATGTGGCAGCCAATTTGCGCGCACCAGTGTCCCACAAATAGCTATAAAGTGAGTGACCAATTTTATTTGGGAGATTGTTGGCCAAGACACTGGGAGAGAAACTTTGTTTTCTTTTCGAATATTGCCATGGGATGTTTAACGTCCATCTGAACAGGCGGATGGGACCTCGGTTCAACATCTGATCTGAAGGAGGTCACTTCTGACATTACAGGACACCCCCCCCCTAGCACTGCAGTGAAGTGTAAGCTTTGACCATTGCTGGAACATCCTCCCCTGATTCCACATGAAACCCATCGGTGTTGGTTTCAGTGAAGCTCAGGAGCCAGAAATGGAAGTGTTCCCTCTGTCAGTGCCTCTCAGTCCCCGGCATGGGAATGACTCGCTCTTTTTAAACCCGTCAAAATATATTGTACCCATTTGCTTCTCCTAAATTGATTGTAAACTTCCAATAACCACAATAATTCACTGAAGTGTGTTAGACTATAAAGATACAAATTCACACCACCCTTTGAATAAGTGATCATCCCTGACTTACGTGTGACCCTTAAAGACCTAATTCCATTTTAGTGTCAATAAATATATGCAATGTTGGCTGAGTTGGTTGGTTGCTGGGTGAGTTTACCAAGAGCGAGTTATGCCTGAATCAGAATTTTTCTAGCTGAAGAAATGCAATTTGCCAGCGTTGTGGATCAGAACCTTCCCCAATCCTTCAGTCTGCAAGACTTTAAAAAAATACATTTGAACATAAAGTATTGAGGCTAGTGAAAGAATTTGTAGGCAAGTTATCTACTTTGGATTGAACGGAGCTGGTGATCTTAGAATAAAACAACAAAACAACAAATTACATTTATATTGTGCCTTTCACGTTGAGAGGACATCCCAGCAATGGTTAAGATCTGGACTCTCGTCTTGTTGTCAACGACTGGTTGTGGTTTACAATGATAATGCATTTAGTTAATGTCGTTATCATATCACAACTAAAGTGTTTCACAGATTCAAGCCAGCGACCAATTTTATTTGGGGGATTGTTGGTCAAGACACCAGGAGAAATTCCTGACTTTTTTTCGAATAGTGCCATGGGATCTTTCACGTTCACCTGAACAGGCAGACAGGACCTCGGTTTAACACCTCACCCGAAGGAGCCATCTTCAACAGCCCAGCGCTCCCCCAGCACCTCATTGGAGTGAAACTCTGCCTCCCAATGTGGGGCTTGAACTCACACGCTTCTGACTCAGTGGGTAGAGTGCTACCAACTGAGTCAGGCTGACACAAAGATAAGCTTGAATAAAACTCCAGGATTACCATTAAAATTGGGTCCAAATTTTACTACTGTAATTAGCTTCATTCCACTTGTTGTGGTGGTTCCAGTTTTGTCTTCTGAACAGAATTTAATCATTTGATGTCTGTCTTTAGACTTGTACTTTTCACTATCGTTCTAATGCCACATTTTTTTCCTTTCAGTTTCCTGGCCTCTTCTCTTGGTAATAGTAATAATAGTCTTTGCATTTGATATAATGCCTTATCACTTCATTGAGACTTCTCAAAGCTCTTCACAGAGTATTTTGTGGATTGACTGTATTTTGTGGGTGGAACGTGGCAGCCAATCGCGCACAGCAGTGTCCCACAAACAGACGTGGATTAAGTGGCCCTATTTTTGAGGGATTATTACTGGAAAGCGACAAACAACTGTGTACCTACTTAGTGGTAGGTAAACTGAGGCATATGGAGTAAGGAAACTTACCTAACGTTTTGCCCTACTCGGGAATCGAACCCGGGTCCTCTCGCTTTCGAGCGAGTTCGTGAACACAATGCTATTGGACACCACGATTGATTCTTGTTGCTGTAGTTACTTGATTAGTGGCAGCATCTATCATTGTTACCGTTTTCATTTGTGAGCCTGGAGAGTGCCTGTCACCAGGCAATGTGGCATTAGGAGCAGCCTCGTTCTCTTTCTGAATTCAATCTCTTTTCTGAATTCCTTACTGAATAGCAATGAGGAGCCACAGCCCAGATTTTCCTTTACACAGGAGTCGATTGTTGTCCTAACACTGTCGTTCCTGAGGTCCGGTTCATGAGCCCGACAATTCCTGGGCACTGCTGATGACAGCACAGCCAGTCTGACTCATCAGTAGGATTTAGAAGGCCAGACCTGTCACTGGGGTCAGGGAATCCTCCCATACTGGTGATGGGTTTCCACATTTTTCAGACACCCAGCTGACTAAAAAAAAGAGTGGCTAATCTAGCCTTACATCAAACCTGGGAGTTTTAGGATCGCCTAATATGTTGTGTTTATGCACTCAGGGCTTTCGACAGCGCTCCATCTTTTAACAGTGGTGGGGTCTGTAAGCACAAGGCCTTATAATGTGGTGCATTTAAACACTATGCCATTAACTGCACTCCATCTTTTAAATCAGCATAGAGTACGTACTTTGGCTGAGTATCTATTCCCATATCTAACTATGTAAAGCAATGTCTTACAATCTCTTGTTTTGCGTAGGTTGTTTTATGCTTGTGTTCTCTCGATCTCTGCTCACAGTCCATGTTAAATGGCATGCTTCCATTCGTCTCTGCATCACAGCATTTTAAAAGCTGTGAATTATGTCTCTGTATTTTCTGTGAGGAAAACCAGTTCGATTCTGCGAGCGTCTCTTTGCATTTGTATTTTAAATCTCTAATTCCACTTGGTTCATCTGTTAACAAGCTCCAATAAGATGGTGTTGTTTTACAGATATGTCACCCCAAACTACACACAATTAGGGAAGTTATCACTGTTGACCTGAGAAAGGCTTCCTTTACATTTAAATTCAATACCTTCGAAGTTTATCCTAGTACTCAATTACACTACGAATGATTCCGCACAGGAGATAACTCCCCTAATCCCTTTTCCCTGCTCCTCACCATTCCCTATTACATTATTCCCATTAAAATATTCATCCCTATTTAAGGTTGTTGTTTATTTTCCCGTAGCGAAGTGGTTAGAGCATTTGCCTCGCAAGTGAGAGGACCCGGGTTCGATTCCTGGATGGAGCAAAACCTCAGTCAACTTTCCTTACTCCACTCGCCTCTGGTAACCTAGCAGTAAGTAGGAACCCGGTTGTTAGTCGATTGGCGGATCCCTTTTTTGGGGTAATAATCCCTCAAAAAAAAATTGGTCAGTCAATCCACGACTGTTTGTCGGACACTGCTGTGTGCAATTATCAATTGACTTAACAATATTTTCTATGAAGCGCTTTGAGATGTCTCAACGATGTGATAAGGCTCTATATCAAATGCAAGGATTATTATTATTATTTTCCAGATCCCTTTGAATGCTGCTGTCTTATTTTTAACCTGTCACATTATTTAGTGTCAACAATAAGTTTAATAATAATCATAATCCTTACATTTGGCACAGCACTTTCACATCAGGAGATAATTCAAAGTGCTTCAGAGGATATACTGTGAAGTGTAGTGACTGTATTTTGTGAGCAAACTCGGCAGCCAATTTGTACATAGGAATGCCCCACAACAGCCATGAAGTGAATGTGTTGGCCAGAACACCAGAAGAGACTCCTTTCTCTTGCTGAATAGTGCCGTGGGATCTTTAATATCCACCTGAACAGACCTTGTGTCTCGTGCGAAGGACAGCACCTCCAACAATACAGCACTCTCGGCACTGCATTGGTGTGTCAGCCTGGACTTTGAGCTCAAATCCTGAAATCTCAGGGGCTTCAACCTACAATCTCTGAGAGGCAAGGGTCTTACACTTGGGAAAACATCTCAGAGAGCTTCACAGACAGATTAACGTCTTATCCAAGGGACTGCGCCTCTAACAATCTATGAGTTCTGTATAATTTAACTCGGTATAATTGAAAGAAGTACCTTCCATTGGAATTATTAGGTTTGTGTTGATCTGGAATCAGCAGGACACACTCTGAGGAAGTTGTTTAGTTTGTTTACCGAGTCCCTTTCACTAACACTCCTTGTACATTTGGTTTGTGTTACAGGAAGACTGTATTTTCCTGCTCTCCCAGCCTCAAGTCCCTGGCTCAGGAAGTCCTGCACATCACACTTGACAAGTCTCTTCATCTGCGCTGCAGCAACTGGGAGGCAGAGGCACTAGCCATTGAGCAGGTAATAAAGGAGCGTCTCTGAATTTCTCTGAATCCATGAACACCAACGCCAGTCACCATTGAGAAGAATGAGTCAAAGGTCAGCAATGGAGCTGACAATAATAATAATCCTTGTCTTGGATATAGCGCTTTATCACATCATCGAGACATCTCAAAGCGCTTCGCAGGCTGCACTGTAAAGTGGATTGACTATTTTGTAGGAGAGTTGCGTATCGCAGTGTCCCACAACAAGATTGTTTTCCCAGATTTAGACAATGTTGATCACATGTAGCATTTTATTTTCTGCTCTGACAGATAACCTACGCTGCGCAGGATGCCCGTGTGTCAATGGCTCTGTTCTTTCACCTGTTGGGATTCAGCTCTCTACCAGCTGAGGGCAATGGCCCCTGGGAATCGGAGCCCAACTGGAAGCAGGTGCTGGCAAAGTGCCAGGGGCTTCTGGATATCCCGTTTAAGGGCAAAATGGGAGGCAGCCGTGGGGAGTACAGGGCTGTAGAAACAAGCTCTCAGCAGCAATGGAGGAGCAAGCCGAGCATCGATGGCTTCACTTTAACAGATCAGAAGAGCAAGGATCCCAGGAGAACCCAGCGCAAGCCTCTGGGTGTGGGATATTCTGCCAGGTGATTTCTGATGCGCGTTCTGTCCAGTGGGCTGTACCTGGGTGGTGTTGCTGAGCTTGTACAGTGTTTGCACAGTCTCAAAGCCCTTTCGGTGCCTGACCAATTGGCCATTTATTCGTCAGGGGTAGGTGGGCTATTTGCCACGATATCTGTGTATCCTCCTTGTGTTGGTGGTATGTCGGGTCTCCTTAGAGCTGAACTGGCTCAGAGGTGACATGTTTGGAAACAAAACGTCGGAATCGAGCCAGTCCTTTGTGGCGGTCTCAGTAGCCCAGTTCCTGAGCCAGACAGGTCCACAGGACTCCAGGGCACTGCTGATGACAGCACAGCCAGTCTGGCTCATCGGCAGGACATGGAAAGGTAACCAGTCACTGTGGGCAGGGAATCAGCCCACTTCAGCTCCTGCAAGCCAAAGCTGACGGGTAGGGCAGTCTTAGCTGGACAAGCAGCAGGAAATCTTGTCAGACAGTAATATCAATGGCAAGCTCTGTGGTTTTAGCTGGTTGGACTTCAGAAGTTACCCAACGCACACTCTGGGGTCCCCAAGCCTTTGGTTCCTGCCAACTTGTGCCTAATGTTTTTTTGAAATTAGGTAAGCAGGACGTGTCCCTCCAAGGAGAGAGAGCGCATTCCATTCCAACAATCTATCTCTGGGATTTCCATGTGTAGGTGGATGCATAGAATTCTCAGTTTGGTTTGGATACACTTAGGCAATGGTGATAGGTTTCCGCACGTGTCAGAAACCTGTCTACCCAAAACAAAAGAATCCACGAAGGGAAAGAAATGGAGCGAGTGAGCGAGTCTTGCCCTTCAGCTCTCTGTCCTGCCCTCTCTTTACTGTGGGAGTGCAATGTAAATCTCTGCTTACTTTGAAGAAGTTGGCTGCTTCCCCTCTTTGGGATTTGAGTAATTTCATGAAAACAATTAAAGCTGCATAAGTCTTTTGCTGACTTAAGAGTTGCTGTGGTTTTAAAATTTATCGTTTTAATTAAATTACTTTGCTATGGTCTGTACGTAGTAATGCCAGAGAACTGTATATTTAACCTTCAGCCAAGGCTCCTGAAATGATGCCTCCGCAGGGCGGTCTGTATGTTTAATTAACCTTCATGTAAAATGCAACCAGAGCTGCAACCTAACTAGTTCAACGAGTTAATTTTATAGCATCATCTGGAAGACATACAGCCAGTAACTCCACAGCAAATTGAACGAGATTTAATGTCCAATTATAATATCTGACTATTGCAGTAGTCAAGTGTCCTGTGATTAACTTAGTCCATTCTCTTCGAAGACATCTTAAAGAGATTGGAGCAGTGTTGAACATTTGGATTAATGTGATGGAACTGGGGAGGCTTACAAGCAGTGGTTGGCTTGTGGCTTCAATCAGTCCTCATCGAGCCCCTCATGGAGTCCTGTAGCTCAGTGAGAGGATCTGGGTTCTTTTTCCGGTCAGGGCAGAATGTTGGGGAATGTTTCCTTACTCCACGCACCTCTGTTCACCTAACAATAAATAGGAACCTGGTTGGTGGTCAATTGGCTGATCACTTTTCCAGGGTTAATAATCTTTCAAAAAATAAATTAAAAAATGAATTTGGTCACTCAATCCATGACTGTGGGACGCTGCTGTGCGCAATTGACTGCCATGTTTTGCCCACAAAATATACAGTCAACTCACTTTGCAGTATATTCTGTGAAGCGCTTTGAGACGACTAGAAGACGTAAAAAGCGCTATATCAAAGGCAGAATTATTATTATGTTATGACTTTCTTGCTGCTCTCCCAGAGGCTCCTGACTCCTTTTGCCTCTCTACGCCAGGGTCAATTTTAAAGACAGCTCTACCTGTAGTGGTTCCCTCAGCCCTTTCTGGTGTCTATTGGCCCCTCACTCTGTGACCGTTCTTAAGATTATCCAAAGAATTCCATGTACCCACCAACACGTGGCAATCCCAGTGATAGATTGTTGGAATGGAACACTCGCTCTTTCTTTGGAGGGACGCATCCTGGTTACCTAATATCGGAAAGTATTAATAATAATAATCCTTGCATTTGATACAGCGCCTTATCACTTCTTCGAAGCATCTCAACGTGCTTCACGGAATATACTGTAAACTCAATTGATTGTATATTTTGTGGGCGAAACACGACAGCCAACTGCGCACAGCAGTGACCATTTTTTTTTTTGAAAAGCGATCCACCAATCGACTAGCAACCGGGTTCCAAAATACTGCTAGGTAAACAAGCGTGCGGAGTAAGGAAACTTACCCAACGTTTCACCCTGCCACGAATCAAACCCAGGTCTCTTGCTTACGAGGCAAGTGCTCTAACCACTGAGCTACAGGACTCCACAGCTAACACCCAAAACCGCTCAGCTTGCCATCGATCGACAGTGTCCTCACAGCAAAATAAATGCTGTTTCTTTGTGGTTTTCAGGAAATCTCCGTTATACGACAACTGTTTCCTTCACGCTCCCGACGGCCAGCCTCTGTGCACATGCGACAGGAAGAAGGCTCAGTGGTACATAGACAAGGGCATTGGGGGTGGGTTTGTCTCTGATCCCTCCTAAAGCAAGGAGAAATATAGTTATTCAGTGCGAGTAATCCTCTCCACCACTGCCCGGTGGAGGGTTTAGGCACATGGGAAAAAGAAAAGTAATGGACAAACAAGACTAATGACTTAATGGTCATAGCTGCATATGTCATTCTGGAGTCAGTTTCAAAGACTGAGTTGAGATTCCAAGGATTGATGATTGCTGTAGAATAAATAATTTACCTCGTTGGAAACTGGGGATCGGTTTTATCTATCCTCCTCCTAGTGAGAATGTATTGCGCTCCCTTGGCTTCTTTTCACAGAGAAATGATCTACAATCTGGAAACATTTTTATTGCCCTTCTGTGAATCCTTCCCTCTTGCTCATTCTACAAGAAAGAACATATTTTTAGCGCACTGTCACTTCACAACATCTCAAAAGCACTTCACAAGTGATTATGTGTGTCAGTTTGGCTCAGTGGTAGCACTCTTGCCTCTGAGTCAGAAGGGTTGTGAGTTCAAGCCGTAAATTGGGACTTGGAATCCCATTGTCTAAGATGACACTCCCAACGCAGTGCTGGTGGGTGGGGAATGCATTGTCAAGATCGTCCTCTGGTGATGCGACGTTATCTATCCCCCTACCTCCCTCCCCGTACCCTCCGTTCCTCTGGCTCCTGTCTGCTCCACATCCCCCGCCCCAACCACTCTACCATTGGTGGCCGGGCCTTCAGCCTCTCAGCCCCGAGGCTCTGGAACTCTATCCCCCAGTGCCTTCGCTGCCTCCTCCCTTTCCTCCTTCAAAGCCGGTCTCAAGACCTTTCTCTTTGACTGTGCCTTCAGCTCCCCTCTCGACTCTCTACTCCCTCCTCGCCCCCTCCCTTCCCTCCCCTCACCCTGACCATTTCCCCCCTCCTCGCTCCCTCCCTTCCCTCCCCTCACCCTGACCATTTCACCCCTGCTCGGGTCCTGACCCAACTGTACAGCGCCTTGGGACGTCCTCCCGACGTGAAAGGCGCTCTATAAATGGAATCTTGTTGTTGTTGTTAAAACAAAGTCCTGTCTGTCTGTCCAGGTAGACGTTGAAGAACCCGTGGCACTATTCAAAAAGAGAAGGGAGTTTCTCTCTCTCTCAGTGTCCAAGCCAACAATCCCCCAAATAAGATTGGTAACTCACCGCATGGTTGTTTGTGGGACATTGCTGCGTGCAATTGGGCTGCCGCGTCGCCTACAAAGACAGTCATTACACTTTACAGTAAATCCTGTGAAGTGCATTGGGACATCCTACTTTTGTGAAAGATACTATGCCAAAATATTATTAAGTGTAGTGACTGTTTTGTCAGCAAACATTCACACGAAGTCCTGTAAACATCCACGAGGATGTTTATTTAATCGGTAGGATGTGATCTTTATGGTTGACCTGAGCAAGCAGAGAGCTCTCAGTTTAATGGCCTCTCTGACATTGCAGCGTTACCTCAGTACTACAATGGAATCTTAGTTCTGACTCGGAGGCGAGATTCCCACCAACTGAGCAAAGCTAGTACCTGTTCTCTACGTGTTTCTCCAATGATTTACCGAGTCAGTACCTCATCTTAGGACTTCTCCCCATAGATCTATGATTACAGTTCAATATTTAGTTGTATTTTTGCAACTGATTCTATTCTTTGACAAGCCTTGATGAAGTGTTACCCAAGGATTATTTTTTCCTGCCCTTGTGTTCATAACTATCTTTATAATTGTACTCCACACATTGCTTTGATAGAAACAGATTACTATACTGCCTGGATCTAAACGGTTTCCTTCATATTGGATTTGTCACGCTCTATTGTTATGCACTGTAATAATTTATTTGTCCTCCCTCACCCACTCAATAAATTAATTCAAACATTATATGGCGCCTTATCGCGTTTCGCCCACAAAATAAAGTCAGTTCACTTTATGCTGATATTCTGTAAAGCGCTGTGATAAGGCGTTATATTAAATGCAAAGATTATTATTATCATGTTGTAGAAACTGTAGTGATAACCTGGAAACAAGATCGCAATGACAACACAGAAACACGTTACAGATTTTACGCATATTAGATTTATATTCAGAAGATTAATTCCAGAGCATTGATTTCATCAAGTCTGAATTTTTAGAAACTTGCACGTGAGGTCGGGGGGAGTTGGAACTTGGAGTGTTCTGCTGTGTTATTAACTCGTGCTGCGACTTGTGCCTCTGACATTGTGTTTCTTGTGTGTTGGTAGAGCTGTTCAGTGAGGACCCGTTCATAGTGAAGCTGAAGTTTGAGCCGTCAGGAAGACCCGAATCTCAGGAGGATTATTACTTGACAGCGAAGGAAAACCTGTGTGTCGTGTGCGGCAAGACAGACTCCTACATCAGGTGTGGCCTCGTGTAGAAATATCACCTCTGCCGGCTTTATTTACCCACCTCCTACAGGTTTAAGTTCAATTTCTTATATCCGAGATTGCTGAAGAAATGAAACTAAAACCTGTGAGTTTGTTCGTAGCACTCTCACCTTTGGGACAGAAGGTCTGTGAATGTGGGTAAAGAGTATTGTCGGGATATTACAGGAGTCCAGAGGGCATGAGCTTCTCAGCTGGGGGCAGATAGGATTGGGTTGTGGATAGCTGCTGGCATCCAGTACCCAATTGCTACATCACGGCAGATAACAGAAGTGCCCTGTGTTCGAGTCCTGTAGAGTATTGGTTAGAACTCTCTCCTCAATCGCCAGAAGACATAATAATAATAATAATAATCCTTGCATTTTATATAGCGCTTCTCGACATCTCAAAGCTCTATGCTGTAAAGTGAATTAACTGTATATTTGTGGGCGAAACGTGGCAGCCAATCGCGCACAACAGTCTCCCACAAACAGTCCTGGATTGAAAATGACCAACTTATTATTGTTTCGTTTTGGAGGGATTATTATTAGGCGTGTGGAGTAAAGAAACTTGCTCAAGGTTTCGCCCTGCCTGGAATTGAACCCATGTGTCTCGCTTGCAAGGCGAGTGCTCTAACCACTGAGCTACAGGACATGGGTTTGATTCTTGTGCAGGGCGAAGCCTTAGGCAAGTGTCCTTACTCCTTCCGTGTGTTTACGTGTGTAAGTAGGAACCTGGGTGTTAGTCGATTGGTGGATTGCTCTCCGAGTGTAATAATTCAGCCAAAAAAAAATTAAGCAAAATGAAATAATTCAGCCAAAAAAAATAATGATGGTAATTTGACCACTCAACCTACCACTGTTTGTGGGACACTGCTGTGTGCAATTGGCTGTTGTGCTTCACCCACAAAATGTACAGTCAGTCAATTTACAGTATATTCTGTGAAGCGCTTTGAGACATCTCAACGACGTGATAAGTTGCTATATCAAATGTAAGGATAATTATTATTATTATAAGTCTGGTGTGTGCTGCACTGACCAGTGCTGATACCCACTGGGGGCACTGGGGAACGCTACTTTCATTAATCTTCAGTGTAACTACAGATCGTGCCAATTGTGTTTCTTCAGGAAAAACATTGTGCCCCACGAGTATCGGAGGCATTTCCCGGTGGAGATGAAAGACCACAACTCTCACGACGTGCTTCTCCTCTGCACCACCTGCCACGCGACCTCCAACTGCCACGACAACCTCCTGAAGCAGACGCTGGCCAAGGAGTTCAACGCCCCAATCGGGTGTGAGGAAGCCACACGGCTGCTCGAGGACCACGATCGCAGGCAGGTCCGCTCCGGCGCCCGAGCCTTGCTCCACGCTGACAGCCTGCCCCAGGCCAGGAGAGAGGAGCTGCAGGGCATCTTAAAGGCCTTTTACAAGACAGACACCCTGTCACAGGAGCTGCTGCAGGAAGCGGCCTTGCTGGAAACAAGGTGAGGAGTGTAACGACTCCGTCCTTCGGCTGAGACCTTAAACCGAGGTACCACCTGCATGTGCTGGTGGACGTTAATAGCGCTATTCATAAAGAGAAGGGATATTCTCTCTCCTGGTGGTCCTGCAACGGAGGGCGCGAGGCGGAGGGATTCGGGCGGAGTTCCAGAGGTTAGCACCATGGCAGCTGAAAGCACGGAGGGGTCGAGGGATGCCCAGTGTTAGCTGAGAGAAGGTGGAGGGGAAGTGGAATGGGGAAGCACCTCAGCAAGGTAGAGAGATGCTAGGGAGTGAAGGGGTTTGAATGCGAGGGTGAAAATCATGAAGTTGATGGGAGACGGAGATGGGGAGCCATGGAGCCTGGACATTGACATTGATTTACAATAGTAACCTGTTCTCGTTCTGCTCTGTCTCAGGATATTCAATGAGAGTTACATGCCTCACGGGCTGAAGGTGATGCAGGCCATTGGGAGTGGTGGTCTCCGACCCCTGATGTTACTGGAGAAACGCTGGCGACAACATTTCCTGGACTGCATGATGCCCAAGTACCTGCCCCCGATGTGGTCAGTGGTTCACAACCACAGTAAGCTGCTCCGTACACACGGGGAGCGCTTACACATCCAGTTGACGTGAGCCTGTCGGGCAGGCAGGGCCTCTGTTACCGCTCCCGTTAACCGGACTATTTTAGCACACATCGTGTGGCATGAGAACACGGCACCACAGACTCCCTGCGAGGCAGTGGGACTGTGTATGTTGCTACCCGATTCTTATCGCCGTGTGTTAGTTTTTTATTTGTAGAGGGCAGACAACTAACTGGTGGAGAGAAGAACTAAATCGATTTGAGGCTGGTGAAGTCACTGTAAAGTCTTAAACCCGTGCTCGTAGCAGATTCCAGCCCTGACCATTCCCCAATTGTGCTCTACGTGGATTGTATCTAATGTACCATTAACGCTGTAACGGCTTTGAAAGAATTGATCTGTACTTAAGATCACGAGACGCTGAAATTCCTGCTCTTGGGTTAATCCTTTAGAAGGAGAGTGACTGAAGGCAGCAGGGCTCCCCCTTTGCTGGATTGCTATCAGATCGAATGCTTTGGGAATCTCGTCATCTGAAAACTAATTTACACAATGAGTTGGGAGTCTTGGGTGTAATTTTGAAATGCTTTGAATTTTTTAAAAACAATAAATGCTGGAAGACTCCTGCTACAATTCAGGGGGAAGATTTGTGCTTTGTGTCTTTTCCCCTCTCTTTTCACACCCAGAGCAATGCTTGCAGGGAGACAGATGCAGGCAGGGGCTTCGAGTGTGACGGTCACATTGAGAGCCACCAGGATATGTTTCTCTCTGCAGAGCTGAGACAGGTAACCAGTCAGAGAGCAGAGGGCAGGAACCCAGACTCCACCCAGATAAGAACCAGCTGAGTGCAGCATAAGGAAGACAACAACTGCTTTCATTTATATTGAGCCCTTCATGCAGGACTGCTTTTCGCAGCACTGAATCACGGTAGGGTTTGTACTGTGGTGGGATGAGACCAAGCCCGTGAGGTGTCGGATCGGTGGGTACTGCAGTTTTCTGAATGGCTAGTGGAGTAAAAGCTGAGAAAGGTTAGCCTCATGTAGACATAGGTCTACGTGGAATCCCGTAGCATAAAGGTTGGTGCGCTCACCTCGCAAGCAAGAGGACCCAGGTTCGATTCCCGGACAAGGCGAATTTATATTCTGTGAAGCCCTTTGAGACATCTCAAAGGTTTGATATGGTGGTATATCAAATGCAAGAATTATTATTATAAATTTCCATGTGTAGGTGGGATGTATGGAATCCTCTGTTTGGTTTGGATACTCTCTAAGCATGGTGATGGGTTCCTGCATGTGTCAGACACCCGGCTGACCAAACAAATCTGTGGATTGTTGCTGGTGCAGATTAGAATGAATGAGTTCTAAAGGCACTAAAATGTCTTGTCACTAAAATTTGTCACAAGGTAAGGATGAATGATTTCCTTTAACCTTGCCGTCTTAAAACTCACGCTCTAGACTAGACTGACACTCCCGTTGGGGGAGCGCTGTATCGCAAGAGGTGCTGACCCTCAGGTAACATGTTAAACCGAGGTCCTGTCTGCCTGTTCAGGTGGAAATTAAAGATCCCATGCTACTGTTAGGAAAGAGAAGGGAGTTTTATCTCTCCTGGTGTCCTGGCCAACAATCCCGCCAGATAATTCGGCCATTCTCTTCACAACTGTTTGTGGTGCAGGGCATCGCAAATTTATGATTCTGTGGTGAAGTATGAACTGACACAAATTTTCCATCCATTAGTAAGATTTATTAATAAAGGTTAGCAGTGTTATACAAAGAATCCATTTAATGCTTACGGCTGGTAGTACAATTCATATTAATGAGATAATCAGACCGATGACATGGCAAAACTCCACACGCCTCTGTTTACCTAACAGTAAGTAGACAACAACCGGTTGTTAGTCGATAGATTACAGTATATTCTGTGAAGCGCTTTTAGACGTCTTGAAGACATAATAAGGCGCTAAATCATTGCAAGGAATTGTTATTTATGTTTTGCCCCGCTCATTGCAACTGCTGACCAAGGACAACCTTATCTTTCAGGATGCTGCAGAAACCCTTTGTTCTGTAATCATCCTACTTCTCCTCCATTGACCCTGGAGGCTTTGCATTTACATTATATAGTCAGCCTTTATGAAGTAAACAAGTCCATGAGGCTTTGTGGTTTTCTTTTGTCAACTTAAGGCAAACCAGAATTCTGGGATTGCTTACGGTATGCCGTTACTGTGCACAGATTGGCTGCAGCATTATCCACAAAATACAGTCACTACACCTCACAGTACAATCCTATGAAGCACTTCACTTTCCTTCTAAGACCAGTTACACAATGGCTGTGTGTGTCCGTGTGATATGCGACTCTCTTCAATTCATATCCCACTCGAGAATGAGCAGCAAACGAAACAGTGATCTTTATTCCGTGACCCTCTACAGAAATTTATCTGAGACCATTTCTCCTGGTTAGGCATAGGGAGAAGGATCAGTCAATCCATCAATAAAACCGCCAACAGGGTTTTGTTTGTGGTTTGATGGTTCAATTTCATTGATTTATTTAATGCAGAGGGCATGAAGATGAGCTCCTTGGTTTGCTGCCTTCCACTGAAGCCATTTCTCTTCATTCACCTGAGTTTCTGCTGTCTGCTTTTCTGGTGGGAAAAGCAGATTGTGAGTTGATCAGCCAGGATGCTGGTGACGGCAATATACAGCATCTAATTGATGGAGTCAGGTACTGTCGGCTCCTGTTACATCTCCGTGGAATGACTTATCTTCACCTCCCACCCATGAGCTTTCCCTCTCATAGATTCCGGTCTCTCTGACCAAGGGACCATTATTAACATGAGCTATGACAGTGACTGTTGAAGAGGATTTGCTGTCAGTATGCTAGTAGTCTCACCTCTGGTCAGAAGAATTTTGGGTTCAAGTTACTCATCAGCACTTGAGGTCAGAGTCTCTCCCTCTTACAGTGATCTCTCTCTCTCTACTGACTGTGGTGTTCTGTAGAGTAATGGTTAGCGCAAGAGGTACTTGGGATTGATTCGCAAGCGAGAGGACCTGAGATCAATTCCGGGCAGGTTGAAACCTTATGCAAGTTTCCTTAGCCCACATGCCTCTGTTTACCTAGCAGTAAGTAGGAACACGGTTTTTAGTCGATTGGGGGATCGCTTTCCAAGGGTAATCCATCAAAAAAAATGTTTTTGTCGCTCAATCTACGAATGTGGGCATTTTGCCCACAAAATACAGTCAATTTACTGCACAATACTGTAATTATTATAGTGATCTCTCTCCTTTCACAGTGATCACTAACTCTCGCCCTATCGGTGTCGGTGAGATTGACTCGAGCGTTAGACAGGATTGTTGTATTCTCTAGACCTAGGCCGCACAGTCAGCGATCCAGCGAGCAAGAATAACAAGCATTTAGAGTAAGTGACAGCAAGCTCAGCGAGCGTGTTTACATCCAACAACATCAAGCGATGGGTCAGAGTGTTGTTGTTTCAGGAAGATTACATATTCTCTGCACATGTAAAGTGCAACCACTGGATGAGTACAATACAAATGTTTCAATTACCGAGACTTCAATGCAACCCACGTGTTAATTGGATTTTGTGGATTTGGCTGCGGTTTTTCATGGCTGTTCCTGTTGTATATGACCCCGGCTCCGTTCATGCGCGACTGTTATTTTGATTGTTGTGAATTTTGGAAAGCATCCTTTGCATGAGACGTTAAACCGAGGTCCGATTTGTCTGTTCAGGTGGACTTTAAAGATCCCACAGCGCTATTTGAAAAGAGAAGGGAGTTTCTTTTGGTGTCCTAGCCAACAATCCCTCGAATAAAAAAAATTGGTCCCTACTCCATGGCTCTTTGTGGGACATTGCTGTACGCAACTGGGTGCCACGTTTCGCCCACGAAATACACAGTTAATCCACTTTACTGTATATCCTGTGAAGCGCTTTGAGTCGTCTCCAACAATGTGATAAGGTGCAATATCAAATGAAAGGATTATTATTATGATGATTATTATGGGAGAGAGTTCCAGGGACAAGGTGACTTAAGGCTCGGCCATGGATGGAGTAGGAGTGACTGGTAAACCAACCTCAGGAGAGCGGACTCAAACCTTCTTCCATTCCGCGCTAAACATTATTAAACTACTGAGTTTCAGTGGCATTGACCTACCTGATCAGGGAGACGGGTCTAACGTCTCAGCCGAAGGATAGGGCCTCCAACAATGCAGCACAACCCCAGCGCTGCGTTGGAATGTCATCTTAGACTATGTGATTCCAAGTCCCAACGTGGGGCTTGAACCCACAACCTTTTGACTGGGAGGGCAATGGCTATCAATGATTGAATATCAATGGCTAATTTCAGCCAGGCACTTGTTGGCGTCAGCATGAGTGTGTGTTACTTTAGTCCTGGGTAATCCAGGGCCCACGTAGCCATGTCTCTATGACTAGAAAACGCTGCTAAAGAAACCAAGGCAAAGCATCTCAACGTTGACCCCAATTAATTTTCTTACAAAAATGTTAAAATGGAGCAAAAGTATTTACTGCAGATTACCATTAGGGGGCGCTGTAACACTGCAATCTCCTCCCTCAAAGATAAAATACAGTGCAGTAATAATAATAATAATCCTTACATTTGATATTGCGCTTTTCACATCTTCTCGACGTCTCAAAGCGAATTGACTGTATATTTGTGGGTGAAACGCGGCAGTCAATTGCGCACAGCAGTGTCCCACAAACAGTCATGTATTGAGTGACCAAATTATTATTATATTGTTTTTCTCGAGGGATTATTATCAGGCGTGTGGAGTAGGAAACTTGCCTAAGGTTTTGCCCTGCCGGAAATTGAACCCAGATCTCTCTCTTGCAAGGCGAGTGTTCTAACCACTGAGCTGCAGGACTACAGGACTCCCAACGTATGCAGAAAACAGAGGGATTTATCGCATTCTCCACAGAGTCCAGACTCTGTCAGTGGAGGAATTCTCATTTATCAAAGGAACTATTTGAATTTCAGATCAGATCCTTAATCATCCGACTTGCAGTCATGTTCCCCAGAGCATCGATGATACAAGCTGTTGTCAATCATAGTGTAAAACGTAACCATTCATTCCTGCCCGTTACTGTGCACATCCTATATCAGCGTGCATTCCTGTACACAGCAGGTACCAGGAAACATTCACTCCCCCAGTTACTGTACACACTGTTTCAAGTGTTCAGACTTTTCCTATATATGTTCGCTGGTATGAAAGAGTCTGGTCTGTTGATAAATAATTGCATTTGGAGCTTGATGTTGATGTATTTTCTGTCTCTCTAATTCCTGATGGCTAATCCCAGCAGGCGGAACCTCGCTAACAGCTTGTTTCCCTGTTTTCACCAATCCCATAATCAGATTTGCACATCTCACTCTTGAGTTTATTTTTAATTAATACACCAGAAAATATTAAATGCATGTTGCTGAAAAATTCTCACTGACTGTATTAATCCTCGAGCCTATTTTACAGATTTGAGTGAGCATCTGTTAGTACCATTGCACTTGCCATGCCTAGTGTTGACGACAGTGCCGCCTGAAAGGTTATGTGTCATAGCAGTAAGCCATGAAGGGTAGACTTGGCATTTCACGACTACAACAGAGTTTGATGGAAGACTTGACT